TGTAATCTGCTCTGAGTCCCCATCGGGAGAAGAGCAGAACATAAATAAAGTGTTGTTGTTATTGTTGTTGTGCTTAAAAATAAATATTCACCAACTTTCAAAGAGCTGTAAAGTATTACACATCATAAAATGTTCTGCTAAATAACTATTCATTTCTCTCTCCCTCAAACTATTCTAGGATTTTAATAAGTATTTTCTATTTTCTATACATTTGAAGCCACATTATACCTATAGGGAAAAGTATCTTAATTTTTTTTTGAAAAATCTATATTTCAAAATCAGTGTGATCCATTTCTGAAATTCCAAATTCAAACTTGGGTTTTCCCCAGAAGTGTTTTGTCAATGTCAAAAAGGAGGAGTCGTGGTCACTTAATGTTCAGAAAAGCCAACAAACTTGACTATTGGGTTGCTGAGAGTTTTCTGGGCTGTATAATCATGTTCCAGAAGGTCTGTAGGAAACTAGGCAAGTGAGGTTTATATATTTGGGACATCACAAACCTCACAACCTCTGAGGATGCCTGACATAGATGTGCGCGAAACGTCAGGAGAGAATGCTTCTGGAACATGGCCATACAGCCCGGAAAACTCAGCAATCCAGTGATTCCGGCCATGAAAGCCTTTAACAACACAACTTGGCTATTGCATAAAGGATCTCAAGAGATTTTGCTATGAGAATCAGAGATGAAAAAAGATTCAAGATATGATACACTTTCTGGAAATATCTCCATTTAAGAATATTCCATCATTTTAAAAAGGAATGCAATTTAGTATCATTGCACTTCTAGATTTTTATCAGTAGATGGTGCACTGAGCACATTATTATACAGTATAACCGGTTTTCAGTAATGATTTCCACTTTGTTTCATTAATGCTGCACTCAAATATTTGCTTATTTTTTAAAATGTAGTATCATTCTGCATCCATGATAAAAAAAACAAGCATTGAGATATATACATATAGAGAGGGGGCTATGTATGCAACATATGGAGTTCCTGGGTAGAGCAGCAGGTTAAACCGCTGACCTGCTGAACTTGCTGACCGAAAGGTTGGCAGTTCAAATCCAGGGAGCAGGGTGAGCTCCTGCTGTCAGCCCCAGCTTTTGCCAACCTAGCAGTTTGAAAACATGCAAATGTGAGTAGATCAATAGGGAAGGTAATGGCACGCCATGAAGTTATGCCGGTCACATGACCATGGAGGTGTCTATGGACAACGCTGGCTCTTCAGCTAAGAAATGGAGATGAGCACCACCCCCCAGAGTTGGAGATGACTCGACTTAATGTCATTATTAGTATTATTATTACTATTATGTTTATTTATATGGAGCCCTCAGTGGCACAGCTAGTTAAACTAACCAGCAGAACTAACAGGGACACACTCCCCCTGTCAAGTTCCCGGCAAAGACCATCTATCAAGGCGACCAAGGCTGTCTCAGTTCCATGTCGCGGCCTAAAGCCAGACTGTGCCGGATCTAGATAATCAGTGTCTACCAGAAATCCCTGGAGTTGTGTTGCCACCACACGTTCCTCGGAGTTTAAGATCTGCTGGGGAGGCCCTGCTCTTGGCCCCACCTTTATCACAAGTGAGACTGGTGGGGACGAGGGACAGGGCCTTCTCGGTGGTGGCCCCCTCACCTGTGGAATGCACTCCCCAGGGAGATTAGTTCATCAACATCCCTCCTCTCCTCTCCTTCAGAAGAGGAGAGCCATTCAGCAGTGGAACTCCCTGCCCCGGAGTGTGGTGGAGGCTCCTTCCTTGGAAGCTTTTAAGCAGAGGCTGGATGGCCATCTGCCAGGGGTGATTTGAATGCAATATTCCTGCTTCTTGGCAGAATGGGGTTGGACTGGATGGCCCAGGAGGTCTCTTCCAACTCTTTGATTCTATGATTCTATGATTCTATGAAGCTAAAAACCTGGATGTGGGACCAGGCCTTCGGGTAATCTGGCAGATGAACAAAGACAACCAAATGACGACCAGAGTAGGAAAGGACAATGACGATGCTAGATGGGATTACGGATTATGAATTGGCGAACATTGACCACAAGATGATTTTATTGCTGCTATTGTACTGTTTTGATTGTTTTAACGAGTTATAACTGTTGACATTATATGGTAAATTTGTGAATTGTATTTTGTGAATTGTTGGACATCGAATTATGCCTTTTGTAAGCCGCCCTGAGTCCCCCCCCCCCAGGGGGTTGAGAAGGGCGGGGTAGAAGCACCCCAAATAAATAAATAAATAAATAAAATAAACTGCTGAACTTGCTGACTGAATCCAGGGAGTGGGGTGAACTCTCACTGTTAGCCACAGTTTCTGCCAACCTAGCAGTTCAAAAGCATGCAAATGTGAGTAGATCAATAAGTACCGCTTCTACGGGATGGTAACAACGTTCCATACAGTGATGGTGGCCACATGATCTTGGAGGTGTCTACAGACAACGCCGGCTCTTTGGCTTAGAAATGGAGAAGAGCACCCCCCCCCCCCCCCAGAGTCGGACACAACTAGACTTGGTTGTTGTAGGTTTTTTCGGGCTATATGGCCATGGTCTAGAGGCATTCTCTTCTGACGTTTCGCCTGCATCTATGGCAAGCATCCTCAGAGGTAGTGAGGTGAACTCGCTACCTCTGAGGATGCTTGCCATAGATGCAGGCGAAACGTCAGGAGAGAATGCCTGTAGACCATGGCCATATAGCCCGAAAAAACCTACAACAACCCAGTGATTCTGGTCATGAAAGTTTTCGACAATACATACAACTAGACTTAACGTCAAAGGGAAACCTTTACATTTACTACTATGCAACATATAAACACAGCTTGGAAATTGTATTTTTTGAATAGGGAATTCTTCTATTTGCAGACTAAGAAGTAACTTTGAGAGCTCTATCTGTATATAAATATACCAAGAAATCACCCAAACCTTTTAAAAACCCTTGGGATTTTATTTCTACTCATGGATCACACACGTGTAGCTCACAAATGCTTTCAATGCTCCTTGCCACTGAGTAGACTTATGTACCCTGAAGAAAGAAGGAGGAGGAACTGATTCAATTCCTTTTTAATACAACAAGGCACTCAAATAGCAATGGTCAGCTATTAAAGCATTCTGAAGCAGGCTGCTCTTTTGCAGGGGGGAAAAAAACCCAAAATAGCCAATATTAAGACTGCATTGCTAACATTATTGAACACTAAGAGTGTAACTAAGACAGTTGAGTGTGAGAGGAGGGTTGCCGCTCTCTGCTCGGTTGCCAAAGGAGAGCTGGAAAACATGACTTCACCACATCAATGCCCTTGGTACGGACAGAGAACAACCGAGACACATGTCCCAATATCCGTCGGTCTGGCGCCACTATTTTAACAAGTTATTTGTAGAACTATGTGCAAGCACATATTTCTATCATTACTTTTGGTCCTCTAGATGTAGTCAGTTCCCTCGCCCTCCACTTTTTGGGTAGCAATGTATGGAAAAATACAAATTCCACCACCACCTTCAAAAGCAATAAAATGGAAATGTACCGACTCATTTTTAACAATTTATTTTCAGTCACTTGGAGTTTTGACTCTTTCCAAGTATGATTAAGAAACTGGTTTATACATATACTAAATTGATTTTGAAGAAGCACAAAATACAGAAATGGGCTACTAAACATACTTGGGATGGGTGGGTAGAGCAGCTGCATTACAGTGGTTCTCCAGCTGTGGGTCCCCAGATGTTTTGGTCTTCAACACCCAGAAATCCTAACAGCTGGTAAACTGGCCGGGACTTCTGGGAGTTGTAGGCCAAAACATCTGGGGACCCACAGGTTGAGAACCACTGTTAGAGATGATCCTGCTAGCAGCCTGGCCGCTGCATTTTGGACCATCCGAATCTTCTGGTTGTTGACTTCGGAAGGCCGGCATATAAGGCATTGCAATAGTCCAACTTAGTGATGACTGTTGCGTGGATTATCGTTGCCAATGCTTCTACCGAAAGCATTGCCTTGCCTGGCGAAGATGAAAAAAGACCTGCTTCCTTGTGGCAGTAATCTGGGCCTCCATCGTCAGCGATGAGTCCAACACAACCTCAAGGCTTTTAACAGTGGTAGACGGAACCAGAGCTTCCCCATTGAAATCAGGCAGAGACTGGGTTAATTCTGGCGGCTGGCCAGGCCAGAGTATCTCAGTTTTTGCAGGATTCACTTTTGGTCTGCTCGCTTGCAGCCAACTCATCACTGCTTCCAAACACAGCTTAAAGTTCTCAGGAATCGCGGTTGTCCCAGGTTTGAGACGCAAGAGTAGCTGGGTATCATCTGCATACTGGTAGCACTCTATGCCAAAGCTCCGCACCAGTCCAGCAAGTGGCCGGACGTAGATGTTAAATAACAGGGGCGAGAGGATGGCACCCTGGGGAACTCACTCCACTGCAAAGGCAGGAGCTCTCCGAGCTTTGGCCTGACCACTCCACCCTCTGTCTCCGGCCCCGGAGGAACGAATTGAACCATTTCAGGGCTAAACCTCCTCGTACACCAGACATAGCCAATCGATGAATCAGCAAGTCATGGTCCACGGTGTCGAATGCAGCTGTGCGGTTCAAGAGTACCAATAGCGCTGATCCGCCTTGGTCTAACTGACGACGAATTTCGTCAGTAATAGCTACCAAGATGCTATTGTTGGGACTTGTTAGTAGATTATTCCAAAAATATAACATTAAAGGTTTCGACCTTTGCAGTCACAGGCCAAAATATCCGAGCAAAATTAATACAGTCTACAGCGGAGGCTAGAAATGGAAATGGAGATAGTTTGGGATGATACAGATCAGACATTGTTATTGTTATCATGTCACTGCTAGTGCAATTTTAAATAACTAGTATATGGAATAAGTTTTAATGTTTATAGTGGAAAGTGCTTATTGTACTTTTAAAGGTTGTATACTATTTGATGTTATGGCCTATGGCTGGTACAATAAACCATTCATTCATTCAACTGTGTTCATCAAAGAACAAAACGTAACGCTTGCATACTCTACCTTTCACTGGACATTTCAGCGTAATGTTTACTCCCGTTCTTGCCAGGATAGTACCTCCAACTACTGCCGAAATGTTCTGAAGTGCAAAGGTTGTGATATTCCTTACTGAAGACAATATGGCAGGAGGTTCTACAGAAGAAAGAGAAGCATTACATGAAGAGAAATAAAGCAATTTTGCCAGACATTTTAACTCTTTGTCATATTCCAGGGTGACCAAAAAAAGAATTTCAGAGAGGCACAATGCAAAGGAAAGGTGACTATTTACTGCTTGCTTCCATGAAAGAAAACGTTTCAAAAACCCAAGGTACAGAAGGGGTCACGTGATTTTAAAAACTGAGAGATTGCGACAGAGAAGGTGCCAAAAGAAGAGCACAAAATCTACCTGCATAAAACAGGGAAGATGTTCCCGTATCAGAACCAAAGTCATTCTTCACTGTGCACTGATAAATCCCCATATCTTTCCTGGTGGGATTCAAGATTTGGATTTTGTTACTGGCTTCCATAACCACTCTGCAGAAGATTGAAAAGAAAATGTAAGATTTAGGAACAATGGCTTCAAACTACAAGAGAGGAGATTCCATCTGAACATGTGGGATTAACTTCCTGACTGTGAGAGCTGTTCAGCAGTGGAACTCTCTGCCCCGGAGTGTGGTGAAGGCTCCTTCTTTGGAAGCTTTTAAACAGAGGCTGGATGGCCATCTGTCGGGAGTGCTTTGAATGCAATTGTCCTGCTTCTTGGCAGGGGGTTGGACTGGATGGCCCATGAGGTCTCTTCCAACTCTTTGATTCTATGATTCTAATGGGCTTTGACAACAATTTATATGTAATAAAATAATAATAATAAAGTAAAATAATACATCTATATAAATAAAAATGTAATGTTCGTTTGTGGGATTAACAGAACTCAAAAACCACTGGACGAATTGACACCAAATTTGGACACAAGACACCTAACAACCCAATGTATGTCCTTCACTTGAAAAAACTGATTTTGTCATTTGGGAGTTGTAGTTGCGGGGATTTACAGTTCATCTACAATCAAAGAGCATTCTGAACTCCACCAATGATGGAATTGAACCAAACTTGGCACACAGAAATCCCATGACCAACAGAAAATACTGGAAGGGTTTGGTGAGCATTGACCTTGGGTTTGGGAGTTGTAGTTCACCTACATCCAGAGAGCACTGTGGATTCAAACAATGATGGATCTGGACCAAACTCTACATGAATACTCAATATGTCCAAATGTGAACACTGGTAGAGTTTGGGAAAAGTAGAATCTTGACATTCGGGAGTTGTAGTTGCTGGGATTTATAGTTCACCTACAATCACAGAGCATTTTGAATCCCACCAACAATAGAATTGGGCCAAGCCTCCCACACAGAACCCCCATATGGGCCACAGCAACATGTGGCAGGGGACAGCTAGTCTATATAAATAAAAATGTAATGTCAGTTTGTGGGATTAACAGAACTCAAAAACCACTGGGCGAATTGACACCAAATTTGGACACAAGACACCGATCAGGCCAACAAGTGACCATCACTCATAAAAACACTGAAAAACACAGCAGAAGAGACTTAAAAAGCAAAAAACAAACAAACATTACAACACATGCACAAAACCACATATATACACAAACACACATGTATACACAAATATATATACACATATACCATATATGCACACACAAAACACATACACAGACTGGGCTGCAGCAACATATGGCAGGGGGTAGCTAGTGTAATAATAAAAACAGTGTAAAATAATAAATATAATAATAATAATAATAATAAATAGAGTAAAATAATAAATGTAATAGAAATAATAGTAATAGAGTAACATAATAAATAACTTTGGCTCGAATATAAGCCGAGGGGGGCTTTTTCAGCCTTAAAAAAGGGCTGGAAAACTCGGCTTATTCTCGAGTATATACGGTAATTCAGCAAGTGAGAAGAATTACATGAAACTGGGTTGTTGTAGGTTTTTTTCGGGCTATATGGCCATGGTCTAGAGGCATTCTCTCCTGACGTTTCGCCTGCATCTATGGCAAGCATCCTCAGAGGTACTGAGGATGCCTAGTACCTAGAGGTACCTAGTTTTGGAACTAGGAAAAAGTGTTTATATATCTGTGGAATGACCAGGGTGAGACAAGGACTCTTGTCTGCTGGAGCTATGTGTGAATGTTTCAACTGATCACCTTGATTAGCATATAATGGCCTGACAGTGCCTAGAGCAAACTTTTGTTGAGAGGTAATTAGATGTCCTTGTTTGTTTCCTCTCTGTTGTACATTATTCACATGAAACACTGAGAGAAAGAATTGTGAATAGAGGTCATTTTACTTACTTTTCAGATAACGTTAAGTCTGTTCCATCTTTTGTCCAAATGTAATTAAGGTTGCTAACCCCAACTGTTTCGCAAAGTAAACTGATGACCTGGACGTCCTTTGTCAGAAAAAGGGTACTCCCAACATGGACAGTGATCGTTTTGTTTGAATACACCTTTGGCCCTTCTCTCGGTTTTACAATAACCGGGATCTTTTGGTTGGTTGTCACAGAATTGCCCTGAGGCTTTGTGCTGAGATTGTCAAACAGATCTGGAGATTTGCCAGCTTTCCGAGACGGTAACATCTCTTCTTGCGGCTCCTTTGGTTTTTCAGCAATAACTTGTGGAGGTTTGGCCACTTCGGCAATCAACTGATAGATGAGTTGGGAAACCAAGTCGTCGTTGAGTTCTCCGGCCTCGACAAGATGACTCAGATTCTTAATCAGCTCCTCAAAATGTACTGTATCCATACTGTAAGCCCCAGGAAGGACAGAGGCCTCCAGTCGTTTGTTTCTGAATTCACGGGAGTCATATTCTTCCGCCGAATTTTTTGCATGAACTTCAAGACGTTGCAGGGAAGGCTGGTCATTGACTTGGCCGTCGCCCACATACTGCTCACTCTTCTGGCTCCACAGTTGCCACATCTGGTTCATTTTATGCCACTTTGCTCCAAACCTGTTGGCTTCGTTATGTTCGGTGCTGCTGCTCCCATCGGTAGGCTTTCTAAAAGTGGGTGGTTCTATGAGCTTGTTGTCTGTGCCAATGAGTTTCAGGATAAACACTTCCTGTACGGAGCCTGCAACACACTTGTACACTCCAATATCCGAAGCCTCGAGACTGTTGATCTTGAGTGACCCTGATTTGGTGACACCAAGCCTCTTAGAGATTTGAATATGCTGCCCATCTTTCTCCCACTGGATAAGAGACTTCTGGAATCTTCGGACTGGGCATTTGATGATGACGGATGTTTTGGGAAGCAGATATGCTCGGCTTCCGATAGTGAAAGCAATGCGTTTCTCTTGCCTGGTCTGTATGTAGACTCTGGAGATGCCAAGAATCTGTGGCCCAGGAGGTGCATACTTTCCGAAAAGTTTAGATTTTGTTTCTTGCTTCATCTCTGAAATGACAAACAAAGAATGAGGAGGGGGAAACATATTTTATCTCTATTCAACAAAATCATCTCTTTTTTACTGCTCAAGCAGGGAACTCTGAGATGGTAGAACAGAGGCTTTCTGAAGCTCTAGATCAGTGGTTCTCAACCTTCTTATAGCCATGACCCCTTAATACAGTCCCTCATGTTGTGGTGACCCCCAATCATATTGTTTTTGTTGCTACTTCATAACAGTCATTTTACTACTGTCATAAATCATAATGTAAATATCTGATATGCAGGATGCATTTTCATTCACTGGACCAAACTGGGCACAAATACCCAATACACCCAAATGTGAATGCTAGTGGGCTTGGGGGAGGATTGATTTTGTAACTTATAATCAAAGAGCATTCTGAACTCCACCAGCGATGGATTTGAACCAAACTTGGCTCCTATGACCAATGGAAAATACTGGAAGGGTTTGATGGGCATTGACCTTGAGTTTGGGAGTTGTAGTTCACCTATATCCAGAGAGCACTGTGGACTCATGCAATGGTGGATCTGGACCAAACTTGGCACAAATACTCAATATGCTCAAATGTGAACACTGGTGGAGTCTGGGGAAAATAGATCTTGACATTTGTGAGTTGTAGTTGCTGGGATTTATAGTTCAATTACAATCAAAGAACATTCTGAACTCCATCTACGATAGAATTGGCTCAAACTTCCCACATGGAATCCCCATGACCATCAGAAAATACTGTGTTTTCTTATGGTCTTTGGCGACCCCTCTGACACCCCATCATGACCCCCTCAGGGGTCCCGACCCCCAGGTTGAGAAACACTGCTCTAGAATATATCCTACTACAGGGAAAACCAGCTTATCCCTAATCCATCTAAAACACAGACATGTGCCTTTCACCTTAAGAACAGACAAGCATCCCCGAGCTCTGAGGATCACCTGGGAAGGAATCCCACTGGAGCATTGCAGCGCACCCAAATACCTGGGAGTCACTCTGGACCGTGCTCTGACCTACAAGAAGCACTGCCTGAACATCAAGCAAAAAGTGGGTGCTAGAAACAATATCATACGAAAGCTGACTGGCACAACCTGGGGATCACAACCAGACACAGTGAAGACATCTGCCCTTGCGCTATGCTACTCTGCTGCTGAGTATGCATGCCCAGTGTGGAACACATCTCACCATACTAAAACAGTGGATGTGGCTCTTAATGAGACATGCCGCATTATCACGGGGTGTCTGCGCCCTACACCACTGGAGAAATTACACTGCTTAGCCGATATTGCACAACCTGACATCCGCCGGGAAGTAGCAGCCAATAGTGAAAGGACCAAGGCAGAGACATCTCCAGCTCATCCCCTGTTTGGGTATCAGCCAGCACGTCAACGACTTAAATCTAGAAATAGTTTTCTAAGATCTACAGAGACACTCGCTGGAACACCTCAGCAAGCGAGAGTCCAAAAGTGGCAGGCTCAAACCCAGAACCTCAACCAATGGCTGAGACCAAATGAGAGACTCCCCCCTGGGCACACAGAAGACTGGGCGACTTGGAAGGCGCTGAACAGACTGCGCTCTGGCACCACGAGATGCAGAGCCAACCTTCAGAAATGGGGCTACAAAGTGGAATCCACGACATGTGAGTTGGAGAAGAGCAAACCACTGACCACCTGCTGCAATGCAACCTGAGCCCTGCCACATCCACAATGGAGTACTGGTCAAAAGACATTTAATCAACTACCAAACTCACAAATTTTGTATTTTGTCTGTTTGTTTGCTTTGGTCTGTTAGAAATGTAATATAATTTGACTGGTTGTCCTGACACGACAAATAAATAAATAAATAAATAAATAAATCTCTTTTTGAATACAAAATGGCACTACTATTATTTATTTATTTATTTATTTATTTACTATATTTATATTCCACCCCTCTCAGCCCAGGGGCAACTTGGCGCAGTTCACAAATTGGCAACAATTCAATGCCTCAACAATTATAACAAGTAAAAACAATCAAGAAATTCTGTTAAAAACAATAGCATATAATATTTAAAAATATATAAAAACCGTACAAAGCCTTATAACATTATTGTGAGCATCTCCATGTCAAATCGTTATTCCATTGTGTTATCAAGTAGTTCCATAATTCCGTTTAGCTATGCCGTATGGATGAATGACATCCTTGAAGTGACTGAATTGACCTTGAAGTAGCTGTGGGTGGTGACGGCCGACAGGGAGCTCTGGCGTGGGCTGGTCCATGAGGTCACAAAGAGTCAGAAATGACTGAATGAATGAACAACAACAATATAATAATTTAACAAAAACTTTATCATATGGTTCTGCTGACTGTGCACCTCCGAAATACTGACCCAAATCCTCTCAAGAAACTGAATTTCCACTTCTCGTCCCTTTTACATAACATGTTCTCCAGCCACTAGTAACATTCTTTCATGTTTTTCCATGTTATGTTCCTTCTTAGAATAGAATGGCAGAAACTCACAATATTTTTTTAACATCTCTCTCCACCAAGTAATTTGCAGACTGGACACACTGCCACACATATATCCACAATTAATTAAATTCAGATAGATATGCAGCTCACAAATATTTTATTAAATGGATGCCAAGAACATTCCTCGACGTCCCTAGAGCTTTATTTCAAGTGGTGTTTTGTACCTCAGGATCCTGGCATCTGAACTGGCCATGAAGTCCAAGAAAAGGAATTTCAAATTGTATATGAACCAGCAATTGCTTCTATTTTGTTTGAGGACTTGCTTTGGGATTGCTATGCAATATAAAGTCAAAGAAGAATGCTCACTAAATTCAGTGGTGTTTGCACTGGGTCCCACACCTGCAAAATCGGTGTTTATGCCTCCATTTCTTGGTGAAAATGTGCAAAACACCATATAGATCAGGTACAGGCATATAAATCAGGTACAGGCAAACTCATTTCTATACAATTTATTTATTTTTATCGTGTCAGACAACCGAACAGTTGTATTACATTTTTGACAGAACAAACAAACAAACATACAAAAGACACAAAGTTTGCAAGTTTGGTAGTTGATTAAATGTCCTTTGACCAGTATCTGGCCACTTGGGGTGCCTCTGGTGTTGCCGCAAGGAGGTCCTCCATTGTGCAGAAATAGTTTTCTAAGATCTACAGAGACACTCGCTGGAACACCTCAGCAAGCGAGAGTCCAAAAGTGGCAGGCTCAAACCCAGAACCTCAATCAATGGCTGATACCAAATGAGAGACTCCCTCCTGGGCACACAGAAAACTGGGCGACTTGGAAGGCGCTGAACAGACTGTGCTCTGGCACCACAAGATGCAGAGCCAACCTTCAGAAATGGGGCCACAAAGTGGAATCCACAACATGCGAGTGCGGAGAAGAGCAAACCACTGACCACCTGCTGCAATGCAACCTGAGCCCTGCTACATGCACAAGGGAGGACCTCCTTGCGGCAACTTCGGAGGCACTCCAAGTGGCCAGATACTGGTCAAAGGACATTTAATCAACTACCAAGCTTGCAAATTCTGTGTTTTGTCTGTCTGTTTGTTTCTTTGTTTTTGTTTAAAAAATTAATACAAATGTCTGGTTGCTGATGACACGATAAATAAATAACCTTAAGTGTTTTTTTTTTCTTGTTGCTGTCACCGGGTGTATTCCCCCACTTTGTTTCTCTGATGTTTTCTTCTAGATGGTCAATGGTACTGACGACTCAAGCTGTTGAAGTTAAATTACCTTCTCACAAGTAAGACTTTTTAAACAAAAGGAAAGTTAGGAAAACATCTCTTACTGTTGCAGGCAGGCATGTGACAGGGCCTTACGAGCGCTGGGATGCCACACATGGATGCATTCAATGCAAGATGCTGGCCTTTGGCTGTCAACTTTCGGCAAATGGATTTCCTTCTTTGTGTCCCAACACCACAACTTACAGAACACTGAGAAAGAAAAGATACAGTAAAGTTGATTTTGGGAGCCTAGTCTGATGTGAGTGAACTTTATATAACACAAACTTGGGGACCAGGTGGTGTCTGGGTTATTTGAAAAAGGCACGTTTGTTTTGGGGTGTTAGGTAATATCAGTTTGCCCTCCAGTGTGTTCAGTTGCTGATCAATTCCTGAATAGGAAGGAGCTATGGAAGAGGCAGTGGGCGGGGCCAAGCAAATTACACACCAATGCATAGAGAGTAAGGAACACTGGGATGTCTGTGGTGGAGGAAAAACAGAAAATCAAGAATGGAATTCTCCCTGTGTGAAAGCCTTCACTTGGGTGGTGGGCAGTATTGTGTTTGTGGAGGACATTGGCAAGGACATAATAACAACAACAACTACTACTACAACAACAATAATATGATTTTATTGATGTTAAAGTTTTTATATTGTAACTGTGTTTTTGGTGGTATTGAATTTTGCCTTGTAAACTGCCTCGAGTCGCCGGAAGGCTGAGAAGGGCGATATACAAATACTGTAAATAAATAAATAAATAAATAAATAATCTTTATTTATACCCCACCACCATCTCCCCAAGGAGATTCGGGGCGGCTTACATGAGGCCAAGTCGAGTAGTACAATAAAAAAAAAAATACAACAAGAACACAGCAGAAAATTAAAAAAAAAAAAAATACAGAACCAATATAAATATACACATCAAACAATATAAAAACAATATAAAATCAGAACATTTGAACCCAGAAAATCAATCACAGTGGGCTGGGCCAGTTGCAAAGAATTAAAAATCTAAAAACACTGGGTGAGAGGGCAATGTAATGTGTCAGGATAGGGGATCCGGGGGACAAAATAGGGTTTGATTGCACTAGCAGGAAGATAAAGTGCTTCCAAGGACATTTTTGCAGAGTTTGGTCAGGTCAGGGATTATTGTTCGTTCAGCATCATAGAGGCGACACTATAGATGGGGCAAGCAGAAATGGGATAAATGGTCACTCTCCAAAGGCACATCGGAAGAGCCAGGTTTTCAGATTTTTCTTGAAGTCTGCTAAGGCGGGGTGGGGGTGGGGGGAGCTTGCCTGATCTCACCAGGTAGTGAATTCAAAGACAGGGAGCCACAGCAGAGAAAGCTTTCTCCCTCGTTCCTGCAAGAATTACCTGTGATAAAGGAAGAGGTGAGAGGAGGGCCTCCCCAAGGGATTGGACACACAGGTTGGTGGTAGGAAATGCGGTCACGAAGGTAGGTGGGTCCCAAACCATTCAGGGCTTTATAGGTAATGGCCTGTACCTTGAACCCCTATGACCAACAGAACCCCTACGACCAACAGAAAATACTGTGTTCTGATGATTTTTGGCAACCACTCTGACACCCCCTCATGACCCACTCAGGGGTCCCGACCCCCAAGTTGAGAAACGTTGGTCTAAGGGATACTCTCAATTAGACCTGCACAACCTGCATCCCTCCAGCTGTTTTGGCCTCCAACTCCCATAATTCATTGCCATCGGACAAGCTGGCTAGGGCTTCCGGGAGGCCAAAACAGCTGGAGGTTTATTTATTTATTTAAAACATTTATATTCCACCCTTCTCACCGCGAAGGGCGGAGAACAGCATATATACCGCAAACATTCAATGCCGGGACACAAATTCACATACAATACATAAACATTAAAAAACATTTATCAAAATATTAAAATACACCATTTAAAACCATCCTAGTCATCTAACTGTAAAATCTAATTGGCCTGGTCATCTTTCCTATTGCTACTTTATTGCCCTGTTCCAAAAGCTTGGTCCCACAGCAAAGGACAAGAGAGAGGGGGCCGACCTGATCTCACCAGGAAGGGAGTTCCATAGCCGGGGAGCAATCACCGAGAAGGCCCTGTCTCTCGTCCCCACCAATCGTGCCTGTGACAATGGCGGGACGGAAAGCAGGGCCTCCCCAGAGGATCTTCATCTCTGCAGTGGTTCATAGGGAGAGATGTGTTTGGACAGGTAATTTGGGTTGGGGCCATTTAGGGCTTTATAGGCCAAAGCCAGAACTTTGAATTGTGCCCGGTATCAAACAGGCAGCCAGTGGAGCTGGCGTAACATGGGAGTTGTGTGCTCCCTGTATGCCGCCCCAGTTATTAACCTGGCTGCCTCTCGTTGGACTATTTGAAGCTTCCGAGCAGTCTTCAAAGGCAACCCCATGTAGAGTGAGTTGCAGTAGTCTATCCTAGATGTAACAAGAGCATGGACCACCATGGCCAAGTCTGACTTCCCAAGGTACAGGGTCAGCTGGCGCACAAGTTTTAATTGTGTGAACTCTCCCCTGGCCACCGCTGCAACCTGGGATTAATCCAATCCTTCTTCATTATTCCAAAGATATCAAATACATTCAACCAAAAGCCAACTTCTATGGGGAAAAGAACACAATACATTGGTGCAATTATATCTGAGAATGCGTTCTAATTCCAAGCTTCTCACCCTGGACCACTCTTCCAGAACCAGCTGAGGAGGGCAATCTGTTTTTGCGCATGGTTTGTGCGTAGACAACTTAGGTTCATGGCAGCTCTCATCGGGAAGTTTCAAAAAGCTCCCATCCATCCGCAACTGCTGGCAAGTCACTTGGCGGTTCTGGGTGCCTCCACCACAGGTGTGAGAACACTAAGGAAGAGGAAACCAGAATTTTAGTTTTTTTTAAATAATGTATTTGGCATAGCCCTTCTAATAGCTCTTCAAAACATTTTAACTCACTATATAAAACATCAAAATCATGCATAGTTTGCATTAACCAATTCTATGTCTTCTGAAATAAATAATATGTAAGATAGGCAACTCCAGCAAAGGATCACCGCCTTGTCGGGGCGCTGGAGCTTGAGCACCTCAATGATGTCATGAGCGAAACTGCGAAGGGCCACCCAAGACGGGACGGTTGTGGCAGAGAGGTCAGTTGCCAGATGTTCAAGCTGGGTTTAGAAAAGGCAGAGGAACGAGAGACCAGATTGCCAATATCCGCTGGATAATGGAGAAAGGCAGGGAGTTTCAGAAAAACATCTACTTCTGCTTCATTGACTATTCTAAAGCCTTTGACTGTGTGGATCATAATAAATTGTGGCAAGTTCTTAGTGGGATGGGCATCCCAAGCCACCTTGTCTCTCTCCTGAGGAATCTGTACAAGGACCAAGTAGCAACAGTCAGAACTGACCATGGAACAACAGACGGGTTCAAGATTGGGAAAGGCGTACGGCAAGGCTGCATACTCTCACCCAACCTTTTTAACTTGTATGCAGAACACATCATGCGATGTGCGGGCTTGATGAATGCAAGGCTGGGGTGAAAATTGCTGGAAGAAACATTAACAACCTTAGATATGCAGATGACACCACTCTGATGGCCGAAAGCGAGGAGGAGCTGAGGAGCCTTCTAATCAAGGTGAAAGAAGAAAGCGCAAAAGCTGGGTTGCAGCTAAACATAAAAAAACCAAGATTATGGCAACAAGAATGATTGACAACTGGAAAATAGAGGGAGAAACCGTGGAGGCCGTGACAGACTTTGTATTTCTAGGTGCAAAGATTACTGCAGATGCAGACTGTAGCCAGAAAATCAGAAGACGCTTCCTTCTTGGGAGGAGAGCAATGTCCAGTCTCGATAAAATAGTAAAGAGTAGAGACATCAGACTGGCAACAAAGATCCGCCTAGTCAAAGCCATGGTATTCCCTGTAGTCACCTACGGATGTGAGAGCTGGACCTTAGGGAAGGCTGAGCGAAGGAAGAGATTGCTTTTGAGCTGTGGTGTTGGAGGAAAGTTCTGAGAGTGCCTTGGACTGCGAGAAGATCCAACCAGTCCATCCTCCAGGAAATAAAGCCCGGCTGCTCACTGGAGGGAAAGATACTAGAGACAAAGTTGAAGTACTTTGGCCACATCATGAGGAGACAGGAAAGCCTAGAGAAGACAATTATGCTGGGGAAAGTGGAAGGCAAAAGGAAGAGGGGCCGACCAAGGGCAAGATGGATGGATGGCATCCTTGAAGTGACTGGCTGACCTTGAGGGAGCTGGGGGTGGTAATGGCCGACAGGGAGCTCTGGCGTAGGCTGGTCCATGAGGTCACGAAGAGTCGGAGACGACTGAACGAATGAACAACAAAGATAGGCAAATAATAGGAAACAGGACAGGCATAAACATAAGTGAACTCTTGGTTCCATGGGTTCAGTTAACAGTGCCTCTCAACTTTCTTATTGCCTCGACCCCTTAATACAGTTCCTCTAGTTGCAGTGACCCCCAACCCTAAAATTATTTTTGTTGCTACTTGATAACTGTAATTTTGCTACTGTTATGAATCATAATGTAAATATCTGATATGCAGGATGTATTTTCATTCACTGGACCAAATTTGGCAAAAAAAACAACCAACAAACAAAAAACTCCAATACACCCAAATTTGAATACTAGTGAGGTTGGGAAGGATTGATTTTGTTATTTGAGCATTGTAGCTGCTGGGATTTATAGTTCACCTACAATCAAAGAGCATTCTAAACTCCACCAGTGATGGAATTGAACCAGTCTTGGCACTCAGAACTCCCATGACTAACAGAAAACACTGGAAGGGTTTGGTGAGCATTGACCTTGAGTTTGGGAGTTGTAGTTCACCTACATCAAGAGAGCACTGTGGACTCAAACAATGATAGGTCTGGACCAAACTTGGAAAGAATACTCAATATGCCCAAATGTGAATACTGGTGAAGTTTGGGGAAAACAGACCTTGGCATTTAGGAGTTACTGAGATTGAACTATAAATCCCAGCAACTACAACTCCTAAATGTCAAGGTCAACAAGGTCAACATCTACAATCAAATAGCATTCTGAACCCCACTAACGATACAATGGGGCCAAACTTCCCACACAAAACCCGCATGTCTTGAAGGGACTTGCTGGTGCGAGCCTCCCTCCAGCCTCGCATGCTCTTCATCACCCCGCACATGCGCACCACACTGCCATGCACCGAGCATGCCTGCTCTCCCCTCCCAGCCTGGAGTCTCAGAAACAGCCCTCCTGTTGGGTGAGAGGAGAGCTGAGAGGCCGGCCAATCACATTGGAGGAGGGCTTTTGGTGGGAGGATTCATCATCTGTTTCCAAAAAGGAACAGAAGGACAATTGGAGAGATCTTCAGCCTTTTCTGCCAAATGGGTTCCTAAGACTTCTAGGGAAGTAATGCTACCCTTCTATTCCGCTTTGGTTAGACCACACTTGGAATATTGTGTCCAATTCTGGGCACCACAATTCAAGAGAGATATTGACAAGCTGGAATGTGTCCAGAGGAGGGTGACTAAAATGATCAAGGGTCTGGAGAACAAGCCCTATGAGGAGCGGCTTAAGGAGCTGGGCATGTTTAGCCTGAAGAAGAGAAGGCTGAGAGGAGACATGATGACCATGTATAAATATGTGAGAGGAAGCCACAGGGAGGAGGAGGGAGCAAGATGGTTTTCTGCTTCCTTGGAGACTAGGACGCAATGGAGCAATGGCTTCAAACTACAAGAGAGGAGATTCCATCTGAACCTGAGGAAGAACTTCCTGACTGTGAGAGCCGTTCAGCAGTGGAACTCTCTGCCCCGGAGTGTGGTGGAGGCTCCTTCTTTGGAAGCTTTTAAACAGAGGCTGGATGGCCATCTGTCAGGGGTGATTTGAATGCAATATTCCTGCTTCTTGGCAGAATGGAGTTGGACTGGATGGCCCAGGAGGTCTCTTCCAACTCTTTGATTCTATGATTCTATGACCATCAGAAATATATGTTTTCTGAAGGTCTTTGGTCATCCCTCTGAAACCTCCTCATGACCCCCAAGTTGAGAAACACTGAGTTAGAGAGCATCATTAGAACCAGTTACTTAAATAGTTTAACTAGATTTGCAGGAGTGGGCATGGAAGCCTGTACTTTATTTTTTGTGTACTATTCATTTGTTAAAACGTTTTAAAACCATAATAAACAATTTTTTTCTGTAGTGTCATGAGTGACTTGAGAAACTGCAAGTCGCTTCTGGTGTGAGAGAATTGGCTGTGTGCAAGGACATTGCCCAGGGGACGCCCGGGTGTTTACATAGAATCATAGAATCAAAGAGTTGGGCCATCCAGTCCAACCCCATTCTGCCAAGAAGCAGGAATATTGCATTCAAAGCACCCCTGACAGATGGCCATCCAGCCTCTGTTTAAAAGCTTCCAAAGAAGGAGCCTCCACCACACTCCAGGGCAGAGAGTTCCACTGCTGAACAGCTCTCACAATCAGGAAGTTCTTCCTCATGTTCAGATGGAATCTCCTTCTTGTAGTTTGAAGCCATTGTTTCGTGTCCTAGTCTCCAGGGAAGCAGAAAACAAGCTTGCTCCCTCCTCCCTGTGGCTTCCTTTCACATATTTATACATGGCTATCATGTCTCCTCTCAGCCGTCTCTTCTTCAGGCTAATCATGCCCAGCTCCTTAAGCCGCTCCTCATAGGGCTTGTTCTCCAGACCCTTGATCATTTTAGTTGCCCTCCTCTGGACACATTCCCGCTTGTGGAATTTGAGGCTTTTACCATCCTTGTGGGAGGCTTCTCTCATGTCCCCGCATGAGGAGCTGGAGTTGATAGAGGGAGCTCATCTGCACTCTCCCCGGATTCGAACCTGCGACCTGTCGGTGTTCAGTCCTGCCGGCACAGGGGTTTAACCCACTGCGCCACCGGGAGCTCCATAAACAAAATGCCACTGGTATTTTATTATTTATCTATTTAATTTCTTTATACCCAGCCTTTCTCTCCTCACAGGGGACTCAAAGCAGCTTACAACTTCTGGCAAAAATTCAATGCCACATATAAACATAGCAATAAAAACATACCCCATCAAACTATAAAACAATCAAACACATCTACCATGACAACTTCCTATATATCTCTAAGGTTTGCTATTCAGTGAGTTCCAATAGCTCTCTTTCAAATCTCTCTCAGTGAATTGCGAATCAAAGGATTCTGTAAGTCAAGAAATATTTGTGTCTCAATGATCTGGAAAAGACTGGAAAAGAAGGCACCTCTTCCAATATCTCCTTAATACAGCTGGGTGTTACTCTTTGCAGAGAAAGTTCTTATGAGGGTTGAATGAAAAGTAATGCCTCCACCTTCGTAATTAATCAACAGATGGCAGTATTGGTATGCAGCAGGTACTGGCTTGTTTGGTAGACTCTCCTCTACAGTTCTATTTTGGTGGGAAGCCTTAGCATTGAACAGTTGTGTTGTTAAATTGCGAAGTATGGAACTCTGCGCAGACGGTCAGTCAATGTGACTTAAGCAACATGCAGTCATTGAATTCTTGACAATAGAAGGTGTCACCCCAAAGGAGATTAATCAGAGAATGCAAGCTGTTTATGGTGATTGCGTTGATGTGAGTACTGTACATCATTGGGTGAATAAGTTTAAAGATGTTGAGGTGGGAACATCTGACTTGTGTGACTTGTGTGACAAACAAAGAGTTGGACGTCCTGTGACAGCAACCACCGAGTTTCACAAGCAAAAGTTTGACAGATTGATTCAGGATGATAATTGTATCACCCAGAGAGAAATTTCAAGCATAATCTGCATTTCACAAGAACGTGTGGGTCACATTATTGCTTTGCTTGGCTATCGGAAGATCTGTGCACAATGGGTTGTGGAAACAGAGTGTCGACTTCTTCCATGACAGCCTCAGAAAACTTGTTCATTGATGGCAGAAATGTAGTCAATTGGCTGGTGATTATGTGGAAAAGTCTATAGTGGTAGTTAAAGAGCACATTCTAAAGATTATTTCTGTGTTTGATTTATTAAAATATTCCTATCCAAACCCAAGTAACGAAGGTGGAGGCATTACTTTTCATTCAACCCTTGTATTTGCAGTTATTGTTTTTTAAGCAGCCCAGTATACCTGTTCCCATGCTTCAACGTGCCAAACTGGCGGGCAATCAATCTGGTTGCAAGCTTGCAAAGCATGAGGCTTCTTGTCGTTGCAGCTTCCAGAGTTCACAACCGATCCCCCCGGTTGCTGGCAGTGCACTTCTCTTGTCTGGATCCCAACGCCACAAGTGGCTGAACACCGTCTCCATGGTCCTACCTGCCACCTGCACCAAGAGATGAACAAAACAGCACTCTAAGCAAGCAATGCTAAGTATAATGATACAGAAAGCAGCAATTTGACAACTGAGAAGGTAGTATTTTCGTACTACTTCCTGCTCTATATGGTTCTGGCCCAGCTTACTTGTCGGGACGCATCCACCCCTACGTCCCACCTCGTAATCTAAGATCATCTGTGGAGGCCCTGCTCTCGCTCACGTCAACAGCACAAATGCGTCTGGCGGGGACGAGAGACAGGTGACCAGGGGAGCATTTGCACAGCTTAGGCTCGTGCGCCAGCTGTGCCCGTACCTTGGGAAGTCTGACTTGGCCATGGTAGTCCACGCTCTGGTTACATCCCGTTTAGACTACTGCAACGCTCTCTATGTGGGGTTGCCTTTGAAGATGGCCCGGAAGCTCCAACTGGTCCAGCGGGCAGCAGCCATGATACTAACAGGAGCGGGACGCAGGGAGCATACAACCCCCCTGCTGTACCAGCTCCACTGGCTGCCGATCTGCTACCGGGCTCAATTCAAGGTGCTGGCGTTGGCCTATAAAGCCCTAAACGGTTCCGGCCCAAGATACCTAACTGACCGCCTCTCGACCTATGCGCCCACGAGGACTTCGAGATCTTCCGGGGAGGCTCTGCTCTCGATCCCGCCTGCTTCACAGGCACGGCTGGTGGGGGACGAGAGATAGGGCCTTCTCGGTGGTGACTCCTCGGCTGTGGAACACCCTTCCCGTGGACATCAGACTAGCTCCCTCCCTGATGATATTCCGCAGGAAATTAAAGACCCGGCTGTTTAAGAAGGCGTTTGAACAAGAAATGCAATGATTGGTAATTTGACCATAGGAATGGAACAACGGAAAACGATACTGGATTGTGGGTTTGACAATGAGACGACACGGAATGGCTTTTGTAGTAATGATGATGTTTTTGATGAGAATGTTTTTGATAACGATGAATTGTGGATTTTACACTATGTCTTGTATTTTGCACCTTGTTTTCTATGTTGTACACCGCAGTGAGTCGCCCCTGGGCTGAGAATTGTGGTATATAAGCAAAGTAAATAAATAAATAAATAAATTCTCGGCTGTGGCCTCCCACCTATGGAACATACTCCCAAATGAGGTAAGATCCGCTCCCTCCCTCCTGGCTTTTAGAACAAAATTAAAATCATGGTTCTGAGACCAGGCCTTTGGATAGTAGATGTATGTAGCATTTTAGAAGGACATTGACTGGAACAGCTATTCGACTGACGAGACTGTTTTATTGTTTGTTGATGTATTTTTTAAATTGTGATTTATGTTAATTGTGGTTTTACTATTGTAATTGTTTGTATTGGCATCATATCAGTGCCCAACGTAAGGCATTGAATCTTGCCATTATTTATGTGTAAATCGCTTTGAGTCCCCCCAGGAGTGAGAAAGGCAATATATAAATACTGCAAATAAATAAATAAATAAATAAATAAATAAATAAATAAATAAATAAATAAATTTTAGTGGTGAGTTAATACAGTATATTCTGGCGTATAAGACTACTTTTTAACCCAAGAAAATCCTCTCAAAAGTCAGGGGTCGTCTTATACGCGGGTGTGGTTTTATGCATGGGAGTCGTCTTAACTCTATATTTTAACTGGAAAAGTTGAGGGTCGTTTTATATCCCCAGTTGTTTTATATGCTGGAATATGCGGTACATTAATCCTTGCTTCACCAGGTATAGCCCATGTTTGCATTAATATGTAAATACAATGTCCCCCAATTTTTGTGCATTTTGTGCATAATTTTTCCTAGTGCCCAGAGTTGTTGCAAAGATTTCCCTCTGCCTATCTATCTATCTATCTATCTATCTATCTATCTATCTATCTATCTATCTATCTTTGGGCTTCTTTCTCAGGCCCTTCTTCCTCTCACCAACCTATCCTTCCTTCTTTTCTCCTTCCTTCCTCCTTCCATCTTTCCCTTCCTCCCTCTTTCTGCTTCAGTCCTTCCCTTCCATCCTTTTGTCTCCTTCCCTCTTTCCTCCCTCCTTCCCTCTCTCTCCTGCCTTCCTTCCCTTTTTGTCTTTCCTTCCTTCTCTCTTTCCTCCCTCTTCCTCCTCAGTTGTTAAACTGATGAACCTTCCCTTCCATCTTTTGGTCTTTCCTTCCCTCTTCCCTCTCTCCTTCCCTCTTTCACTTTCTCCTGCCTTCCTTCCCTTTTTGTCTTTTCTTCCTTCTCTTTCTTCCCTCTTCCTCCTCAGTTGTTAAACTGATGAACCTTCCCTTCCATCCTTTTGTCTTTCCTTCCCTCTTCCCTCTCTCCTTCCGTCTCTCACTTTCTCCTGCCTTCCTTCTCTTTTGTTTTTCCTTCCTTCTCTCTTTCCTCCCTCTTCCTCCTCAGTTGTTAAACTGATGAACCTTCCCTTCCATCCTTTGGTCTTTCCTTCCCTCTTCCCTCCCTCCTTCCCTCTCTCACTTTCTCCTGCCTTCCTTCCCTTTTTGTCTTTCCTTCCTTCTCTCTTTCCTCCCACCTCCTCCTCAGCTGTTAAACTGATGAACCATGTCTTTGAACTGCCAGGGACAAAGACATGCCATTGCACAAAAAAATTTACTTAGCTAGCAGAGTTTTAAAATGTTTCTTTGAAGTTGAAGTTGCAATTGCCCAAAACAAATATTCTCCCTGAAAACCTCTTAGTTTACAATATGCACTCATAGACAAAAATAAGGTCCACTTTAGAAAAGTAACATATCTTGTTTACTCATAAACATCTTGTATTAATTCAGCATACAATTTATAGATAGGATGTAGTTTCGCTGTGTTGAGAACACAGGGCATCATTCTTCATCCATAATCCATAGTCCAAAGTCTTGAAGTATAAATCTTATGAAAGTCCAAACTGTATAACTGTACCCGTTGCTTTCCAAAGCAAACATATAGTAAACTCTTCCTGCATAAGTCGAAATGATACCTGCTTCCATTAAAGTCCAAAAGCGTACTGCATTGACCTCCACTGAGGTCAATCCCTTGGGTCAGCAGGACTGAAGACTGACAGGTTGGAGGTTCAAATCCAGTGAGAATGCGGATAAGCTCCCTCTGTCAGCTCCAGCTCCACATGCGGGGACATGAGAGAAGCCTCTCACAAGGACGGTAAAACATCAAAAGTACCTGTACGATCCCTGGGCAGCGTCCTTGCAGACGGCCAATTCTCTCACATCAGAAGCGACTTGCAGTTTCTCAAGTCGCTCCTGATACAAAAAAAACAAAACTGTTCTGGTACGGCTGTACCAGGAGCTCCAATTTTATTTGCTTTGTATTAAATGTTTGTTTGCAGTCCTAGGTTTCAAGGACTCTGCAGATAGGTGGCTTCCTTCGGTTGCAGTCATAGGGCAAGTCACCTGTCCATCATCTATAAGTTTTGGTCCTACCCCTTGCTCAGGGCAATTGGGAAGGGAAGGGAGCCATTTTTAGTCAGTCTCAGCAAGGAAAGCTAATGTACAGGACGTGTGCAAGTTTCCCCTGTACAAAAGCTTCAACCCTTAAGACTTTCCGGGGGGAAACAGTCTTAAGAGCATTCAAGACTTTCCGGAGGGAAACAGTCTTAAGAGTCTCCAAAGATTTCCAGGAAAACAGCCCTAAAGACCAAAGAACTCCAGCTGGAGAATATCTAAGCCTTTACTGGTAGGTCCACTCGGTGTTCGAGAAGCGGTTCGACCCGGTAGCGGAGGCCACATCAGTAAGGGTTAGATTACAGTCAGCCTGGGAAAATTTAAAAAGGGGATTTTAAATGGGAAAAAAGTAAAGAAGAATTTATTGAAGACAGTTGCCTGTCCTTCGTGGGCAAGATTAGGAAGTCACCAGTTGCATAAAGCTTGGAAGCATTTGTTTAGCTTTATTGAAGACAAGAGAAGTTTCTGTTTGATTGTTCATTAATAAAGGACTTCGTTATACTTCACAAGCCATCTAAAGACCATTTGTGGTGGAAAACCTCTGAGAACTTCTCCTTGGGCCCCCTGGCTTCCCGCTGGGCAAAGGTTGCACGCCCTGTTCTAAAGACAATTGTTTACAGGCCCAGCGCGCAACAGAACAAAAACCAAAACAAAAGGCAGTCTTGAGTCTGAACATGCTCGGTGTAATCCCATGTCTGTAGCCCCTCCCATACCAAAGCGGTACATCAAACTAGCAAATCAATATATACTTACGATACACGTTAGCAAATATATACATTAATAAACAAATAGTGAAAGCTTGGAAGGTTGCTATTTCCAACACACACTTTCTTCAAGCAGGAATGGCTTGTGCTGCCCCAACATGACCCCCGTTTGCTAACTCCAGACCAAGAGATGTTTCTCAAGCAGATGTTAGGCAAGCTTTCCACAATCCGGAGTCCTACCTTGGAAGGCAAGGCCTTGTATTGCACGCACGACTCATGGCTGGAGGTCTTTTGAATCTGTCGCATAAGCTCTCATTTACCGTTTGCTTTGTCTGTTCATGTAAACACACTGCAATGGCTTCCTGAGTCCCTAGGTCATAAATACACAAACATGTGTGAAAATAGTAAATTATAAGCATATTTTGAAACACAGAAATGTGGAAAAGTTACTGTTACAAAACAAACACTCCCAAGCCATAATCCAAATATTAAAAAATGGAAAATTTCCATTATCTCTGACCCAAGTTTGTAATCTCTTAAATATATGGAATCTCCAAGGCACATATGAAATTCAAATTAATAAATAACCTGTGGGAGTGTGAACTTGTATCTTTATTCCCAAAATTAAACACATTAGCATTATATTATAATTATATATTTATATTACATGTAATATTACTAATAATATTAAAATATAATGGTATAGTACGGTGGTTCTCAACCTGGGGGTCGAGACCCCTGGAGGGGTCACAAGGGGGTTTTAGAGGGGTCGCCAAAGACCATCAGAAAACACAACATTTTCTGTTGGTCATGGGGGTTCTGTGTGGGAAGTTTGGCCCAATTCAATAACTGGCAGGGTTCAGAATGCTCTTTGATTGTAGGTGAACTATAAATCCCAGCAATTACAACTCCAAAATGTCAAGATTTCCCCAAACCCCACTAGTGTTTACATTTGGGCATATTGAGAATTCGTGCCAAGATTGGTCCAGATCCATCATTGTTTGAGTCCACAGTGCTCTCTGGATGTAGGTGAACTGCAACTCCCAAAACTCAAGGTCAATGCCCACCAAACCATTCCAGTATTTTCTCTTGGTCATGGGAGTTCTGAATGCCAAGTTTGGTTCAATTCCATCGTTGGTGGAGTTCAGAATGCGCTTTGATTGTAGGTGAACTATAAATCCCAGCAACTACAACTCCCACAAGACAAAATCAATACCCTCCCCCATAGCCATGTATAAATATGTGAGAGGAAGCCACAGGGAGGAGGGAGCAAGCTTGTTTTCTGCTTCCTTGGAGACTAGGACGCAATGGAACAATGGCTTCAAACTACAAGAGAGGAGATTCCATCTGAACATGAGGAAGAACTTCCTGACTGTGAGAGCCGTTCAGCAGTGGAACTCTCTGCCCCGGAGTGTGGTGGAGGCTCCTTCTTTGGAAGCTTTTAAGCAGAGGCTGGATGGCCATCTGTCAGGGGTGCTTTGAATGCAACATTCCTGTTTCTTGGCAGAATGGGGTTGGACTGGATGGCCCAGGTCTCTTCCAACTCTTTGAGTCTATGATTCTATGATTCAATGAATCCCACCAGTATTCAAATTTGGTCCAGTGACTGAAAATATTTACATTACGATTCATAACAACAGCAAAATGACAGTTATGAAGTAGCAATGAAACTAATTTTATGGTTGGGGGTCACCATAACATGGGGAAGTGTATTAAGGGGTCGTCGTGGCATTAGGAAGGTTGAGAACCACTGGTATAGTACAATATAGTAATATTTAATACTGATATTGTACTATGCTAATAATATAATATATTATATGTATATATATATATATATCTTGTAAGCTGCTCTGTGTCCCCTTCAGGGTGAGAAAGGCAGCATATAAATGTTGTAAATAAATAAATAAATAAATGTGTGTGTGTGTGTGCACGCGCACGCACACAAACATACACCAATACCACAAACAAACTTGGCATTATACTAAATTTTCTTTGACCAGAAGCTGCCCACTTCAAGTGCCTCTGATGTTGCTGTAAGATCTTCCACTGTGCATGTGGCAGAGTGCAGGGTGCATTTTAGTTACTGGTCTGTGGTTTGCTTTTCTCCACACTGACATGTGGACTTCACTTTGCGGCCACATTTCTTAAGATCTTGTGGTACCAGAGCATAGTCTGTTCAGTGCCTTCCAAGTCACCCAGTCTTCTGTGTGCCAAGGAGGGAGTTCCCCACTCGGTCTCAGCCACTGATTGAGGTTAGCCTGCCACTTTTGGACTCTTGCTTGCTGAGGTGGTCTTGCGAGTATCTCTGTAGATCTTAGGAAGCTGTTTCTTGATGTAAGTCATTGGCATGCTGGCTGATATCCAAACAGAGATGTTAATACCTTGGTCCTTTCATTGGTGGCTGATACTTCCCTGCGGATATCAGGTGGTGCAATACTGGCTAAACAGTGTAATTTCTCCATCCTGTGATAATTTGGTGATCCACTAGCATTCTTTGGCAGAGAAAGCTCAAGACTTTGTAAAACTACAATATTTCAGTTCAGTTAAAATAGATCCATTCTGGAGCATAGATGCACCCCAAGATTTCCTTTTCCTTTTCTTTTCCATTGCTGAAAGCTTTGGACATCACAAGATGTCTACGCCCATCACCTCTGGAGAAATTACACTGTTTAGCCAGTATTGCACCACCTGATATCCGCAGGGAAGTAACAGCCAGCAATGAAAGGACCAAGGTATTGACATCTCCGGCCCATCCTCTGTTTGGATATCAGCCAGCATGACAACTACTTACATCAAGAAACAGCTTCCTAAGATCTACAGAGATACTCCCAGGACCACCTCAGCAAGCGAGAGTCCAAAAGTGGCAGGCTAACCTCAATCAGTGGCTGAAGCCAAGTGGGAAACTCCCTCCTTGGCACACAGAAGACTTTTTAACACTTTAGTTCTTAAAGAAGGAATTCTAAACACGCAGCAACTGTAATGCACGCTGTTTTTTGCCCAAAGGACAAAGAGTGCACTTTTTACCACCGCACATTACATTTGGCAGCAAATACTTTTTTTTATTTCGGGTTTTGAAAACAGAGGTGCACATTAGATTCAATGGTGCGTTAGGCTCAAGTAAATACAGTATTTCTTATTGACTTGCTTCATTAAGAGTGTTGTTTTCAAAATGTTTCTGGAGTAGTGGTAGCGTAACATCGGCTGCGGTTGATCTAGTCAAGCACAGGATATTCTTGCCAAAAGTGCCTTTCCAAGTTGTGGCTTGGGTTGCTCCCTCGCATGCCATGGGTGATGTCCAGCTTATGACCTAATTATGCATTTGGATAGTTGGGGGCAGATGGAAAGCAGTTACAGTCCCATTATAAAAATAATTTGTCACTCTCGTTCTGCTCTAATATGAAAAGCATAAAATACTCGCTAACCTTTGTGTGAGGGGTGGAGACGTTTTCCAACTCTGACTTTTTCCAGAGCCAGATAAAAATAAAAATTGGCCTTTTCAGCAACCGAAAGAGTATTTGTGATGAATGAGGGGAAGAGCTATTTCTGCCCATAATTGTTTAACTATTGCACAGGTGGAAAAAAAAAGAAATAGAATGCAATAAAAGCAGAATAGATTCTAATATATATAAAGCAAGTGTGCCGTCGCGCCTGGAGCTATAGCTCTTAGTGAAAGAGACATGGACGTGACATCTTTTCCCCAGGGGATTGCTTCTTGCCCTCCTTTAGAGAACTGGATCTCTCAAGGACCAAGACACTACAGATAACTCGAAATAGGTTTTATTGTTCACAATGAGTTATCTTCCTTAGGCATAAAGTTGATATTCAAAGGGGTAAAGGAAACATACATTACAGTCTCTGGAGTCTTGGGACAAGGAGTTTTCTAGCTGATAAGCCTTCCAAGTTCCCTCTTTTCTCAATGGCTGTGAAAGGTGGAACAATCACAACCCCAGTCCAATGGCCTATATTTGAAGGCACAAAGTCTTCCTCTTGATGCCAAAAGACTTGTTTGAAGGTGCTTGAGACTCCTCAACATCATCCAGGGTGAACTGGGCATGAAGTGTGAATCCCAAGGGTATAAACCTGAGAATTGGTGATGAGAGATAACTTGATCAAGGGCTTTAGAGCCAAGTCTTTCTCACATCCATCTGTAGAGCTGTTTGATGGTGGAATGAAAAAAGGAAAGCATTGCCCTCCTCCCCAGGAAGGGGAGGAGCCAAACAATTAAGCGGGGGAGGTAATTCAACCAGTGCAAAACAACATTGATTGACAGCTATAGATAACCAAACAATTTAACTGTACATTCACATACAAGCGGGGACAGACGCGCCGTCACAGCAAGCATTTTTTCTTTATTAGGCAGTGCAGAGAAAGTATGAAGGTGCTTGAAATTTGCAAACTGGAGAACTATTAAGCTGTCTTGAAATGAGAGTTGTGGGCCCTCTGAAGCCACAGCGGGAAATACATTTAAAAACAAGGAAATAGATTCCCATTTTCAGTCTTGCATATCACATTAAGCTAGATTTCCCCCTAGGTGTACATAATATCAACAAAACCATCATAACAGAATGAACTTCAGTATTATGTCTCTTACTATGACAGAGGTATTGATTACTTGTGTTATGGCCCTTGCATTCTGACATACCCTATACAGCTAGTGGAATAAACTCTGTGCCTTCAACTCATTGGCAGAATAGGAACCCTCGGTGGCGCAATGGGTTAAACACTTGTGCCAGCAGGACTGCTGACTGACAGGTCAGCGGTTCAAATCCAGGGAGAGCAGGTTGAGCTCCGTCTGTCAGCTCCAGTTCCCCATGCGGGGACATGAGAAAAGACTTCCACAAGGATGGTAAAACATCAAAACATCTGAGCATCCCATGGGCAACATCCTCACAGATGGCCAATTCTCTCACACCAGAAGCGACTTGCAGTTTCTCAAGTCACTCCTGACAGGGGAAAAAAACTGGCAGAATTCCCAAAACAATGAGACAAAGTGTAAGGGTGTTCTCATTTATCAAATTGAAGATTCACAGCTCAGGTCCATAGCAGATATATTGGTGCAAGAACATCTCTGTTCCAATCACTGATAAATGAACACAGGAGATTATTCTTAATTTCAGAAATATAAGAGCTCTCTTATTCCAATACAGGCAGTTCCCAAGTTACAAACAAGAAAGGTTTTGTAGGTCTGTTCTTAAGCTGAATTTGTCTGTAAGTCGGAACAGGTATATTTTTAAGTGTAACTCCAGCCAGCCAGCCAGCCAGCCAGCCAGCCATCCATCCATCCATCCATCCATCCATCCATCCATCCATCCATCCATCTATCTCTTTATTTATTTACAACACTTATATACCAGCCTTCTCACCCTGAAGGGGACACAAAGTGGCTTTTAAGATATATATACATATAATATATTATATTATTAGCATAGTGCAATATCAGTATTAAGTATAACTATATTGTACTATACCATTATATTGTAATATTATTATTATACCTACAAGAAGCACTGCCTGAACATCAAACAAAAAGTGGGTGCTAGAAACAATATCATACGAAAGCTGACTGGCACAACCTGGGGATCACAACCAGATACAGTGAAGACATCTGCACTTGCGCTGTGCTACTCTGCTGCTGAGTATGCATGCCCAGTGTGGAACACATCTCACCACGCTAAAACAGTGGATGTGGCTCTTAATGAGAGATGCCGCATTATCACGGGGTGTCTGCGCCCTACACCACTGGAGAAATTACACTGCTTAGCCAGTATTGCACCACCTGACATCCGCCGGGAAGTAGCAGCCAATAGTGAAAGGACCAAGGCAGAGACATCTCCAGCTCATCCCCTGTTTGGGTATCAGCCAGCACGTCAACGACTTAAATCAAGAAATAGTTTTCTTAGATCTACAGAGACACTCGCTGGAACACCTCAGCAAGCAAGAGTCCAAAAGTGGCAGGCTCAAACCCAGAACCTCAATCCGTGGGTGATACCAGATGAGGGACTCCCCCTGGGCACACAGAAAACTGGGCGACTTGGAAGGCGCTGAACAGACTGAGCTCTGGCACCACGAGATGCAGAGCCAACCTCAAGAAATGGGCCCACAAAGTGAAATCCACGACATGCGAGTGTGGAGAAGGGCAAACCACTGACCACCTGCTGCAATGCAACCTGAGCCCTGCCACATGCACCAGGGAGACCTCCTTGCGGCAACACCAGAGGCACTCCAAGTGGCCAGATACTGGTCAAAGGACATTTAATCAACTACCAAGTTGCAAAATCTGTTATTTTATCTGTTTGTTTGTTTTGTTCTGTTAGAAATGTAATACAATGTTCTGGTTGCGGATGACACGATAAATAAATAAATAAACAAACAAATAAGTAATATTACATGTAATATAAGTATATAATTAAAATATCATATTATTATTAGTATTATATTGCATTAGTATTATATTACATTCATTACAACTGTATTTGCTTCTGACATGATAAATACATTTCTGACATAAATAATACCAAACTACAAAACCCAAGATTGCATAGCATTGAGCCATGGCCATTAAATTACACATGAGGCCCTTCAAATAGGAGCTCCAGGGTTTTGGAGGCAAAGGAGGACTTTTGTTCAGTCTCACTGTTTGAAGCCTAACAGCAGGACGTGTGGGATTCTCTTTCCCACCTGCACAAAGGCTTCACTTCTCACAGCTCTGCTGGGAGAGTAAAGGGATAGTCCCACAGCTTTTGCTGGGGGAATACAGCCAGCCTTTGCTGGGGCAACAGGACAGTTCCTACAGCCTTCGTGGGGTGAAACTAAAGGACAGCTTTCGGCTTGGCAGATCCACAGCAACCTTGTCTGGTAAGGGACCACTTGGGCTATCCATAAAGTAGTTTGGAGCTGGGAGTAAGGGCCTCACACCAGCAAGGTAAAGAAAGATTACCCAGGGAGGAGTCAGAAGATTTCCCTAAGGAAGAAAGGAACAGTTTACCACCAGTTGCCTGCCCTTGATAGCAGATTGAGGAAGCTACCGGTTTTCCAAGGTTATAAAGCATTTAATTCATTTATTTGAAGATTTAAGCTCAAATAAAGAACTTTGTTGAACTTATTTTGAGCCTGAATAGAACTTTGTGTTGGGAAATCTAAGGAGCCCTTCAGCTGAGGCACCCCGGCATCCCGTTGGGCATACAGAATCATAGAATCAAAGAGTTGGAAGAGACCTCATGGGCCATCCAGTCCAACCCCATTCTGCCAAGAAGCAGAAATATTACATTCAAATCACCCCTGACAGATGGCCACCTAGCCTCTGTTTAAAAGTTTCCAAAGAAGGAGCCTCCACCACACTCCGGGGCAGAGAGTTCCACTGCTGAACGGCTCTCACAGTCAGGAAGTTCTTGCTCATGTTCAGATGGAATCTCCTGTAAACAGACCTTATTTCAGGCCCAGCGTGCGACAGCACAGCGTGTAAAAATTATCCACAGTAATACCTCCAATACATGTAGCTGAGCACGGGGTAAATCCGATGTATTCCCAGTCGTAGACAACATCACCGGCATCTTCAGGAGGTGACAAATCTGGAAGGAATGGGACAGGATCACCATCACAGGGCTCCAGGTGACAACTACGTTCAGTCTCCAGTTTGGGCTCCTCACACTCTTCATCGGGCAGCTCCACTTCCGTCTGAGTAAATGCGAGGTAAATACGGCACTTCATGCCACGCACCTGAACGCCGTGGCCACAAGAAGCACTGCAAGGGGACCACGGCTCAGGAATAAACCTGCAATTAAACCATGCAGCTTAAAAAATTGCGACCAAATAAAAAAAAATGTCCAGATTATCAACAAAGCAATTATTTTTTTTTTGCCCTCTTAAGTGGACAACGGCCTAATTTATGCAAGTTTTCTTAGTATGATGGTTGCAATGGTTTGCAGACTCTATGTGCAGTCATACAGAATCTGGCAGCCGTTTGGGACATAAATCTATGAAACCATGGGATATAAGTCCTTGTGTATATAATATTATGCAAGAATAAGAGACGAGCTATCCCTTTACATTTGCAAATTTGTGGCCAACACACATTATCAACATCTGACAAATGTTCTGCTTTCACCATGCTATTTATCTAAATTCCCAGGCGAATATCTAGGCCATTTGAATTAAACGAAGTCCTAAGAATCCCTGGATAAACTAGAAGCCACTGTGGACAATGATCTTCCACATTGTTGTTGTTACATGTGGAAGGGTAAGGAAGAAAGAGGGCAAAGTCAAGATAGAAGAATGGGAAACAACTGTATTGATACTATTTTTGCTATCACTTTTTCCGTGTTATATGACTGATCTTCCTTTCTACAACATTTGTACAATTAATCCTGCAATGAAAAAAAAATGCTTTTCAATATTGTGGTTGCTTTTAATGTCCTTTGGATGTTGAATCAGAATAACACAAAAATCTATATAAATAAAAATGTAATGTTCGTTTGTGGGATTAACATAACTCAAAAACCACTGGGTGAATTGACACCAGATTTGGACACAAGATACACCTATCAGGCCAATGAGTGATCATCACTCATAAAACATTGAAAAACACAGTAGAAGAGACTTAAAAAGCCAAAAAATACATTACAACTTAGGCGGAAAACCACATATATTTATTTATTTGTCATGTCAGGAGCGACTTGAGAAACTGCAAGTCACTTCTGGTTTGAGAGAATTGGCCGTCTGCAAGGACGTTGCCCAGGGGACGCCCGGATGATTTGATGTTTTTATCATCCTTGTGGGAGGCTTCTCTCATGTCCCCGTATGAGGAGCTGGAGCTGATAGAGGGAGCTCATCCGCCTCTCCCCGGATTTGAACCTGCGACCTGTCGGTCTTCAGTTCTGCCAGCACACGGGTTTAACCCACTGTGCCACCGGGGGCTCCACCACATATACATATGCACATATGTTGCAGGTTCAAATCTGGGGAGCGGCATGAGCTCCCGCTTTTAGCCCCAGCTTCTGCCAACCTAGCAGTTCGAAAACTTGCAAATGTGAGTGGATCAAGAGGTACCATTCTGGCGGGAAGGTAACGGCACTCCATGCAGTCATGCCAGTGGCCACATGACCTTGGAGGTGTCTACGAACAACGCCAGCTCTTCGGCTTAGAAGAGCACCAACCCCCAGAGTCGGACACAACTGGACTTAATGTTAGGTGAAAACCTTTAATATATATACACACAAAACACATATACACAGACGGGGCCACAGCAACGCGTGGCAGGGGACAGCTAGAAATATAATACCACCTATTGTTTCATTGCTAAGTTCAATATTAATTTTATTCAATCACTAACACAGAAACATCAAAGCAAGTGGGCCGTGGTAGGACAGCGGGTTAAACTGCTAGCTGCAGAAAATCTGCTGACTGGAAGGTCGGGAGTTCAAAGCAGTGAGTTGTAGTGAGTTCCCGACTGTCAGTCCTAGCTTCTGCCTACCTAGCAGTTCGAAAGCATGCAATGCAAGAAGATCAATAGGTACCGCCTTTACCTTTTATTGAATGTTTCCCATATATGTGTTTTGTAATCTGCCCTGAATCCCCTCAAGGAGATAGAGTGGAATATAAATAAAGTAAAGAAGGGACAGAGAGTTTCATCCATGCTGATGATTGTGCCATTACCGCTCAAGCAGGGAGCTTTGAGATGGTAGAACAGAAGCTCTCCGAAGCTCTAGGTGCCCTTACTGCCTATTACAGGGGAAACCAGCCGATCCCTAATCCATCTAAAACATAGACATGTGCTTTCCACCTCAAAAACAGGCAAGCATCCCGAGCTCTGAAGATTATTACCTGGGAAGGGATCCCACTGGAGCATAGCAGCGCACCCAAATACCTGGGAGTCACTCTGGACTGTGCTCTGACCCACAAGAAGCACTGCCTGAACATCAAGGAAAAAGTGGGTGCTAGAAACAATATCATACGAAAGCTGACTGGCACAACCTGGGGATCACAACCAGACACAATGAAGACATCTGCCCTTGCGCTATGCTACTCTGCTGCTGAGTATGCCTGCCCAGTGTGGAACACATCAACCACGCTAAAACAGGGGATGTGGCTCTTCATGAGACATGCCGCATTATCACGGGGTGTCTGCGCCCTACACCACTGGAGTAATTACACTGCTTAGCCGGTATTGCACCACCGGACATCCGCCGGGAAGTAGCAGCCAATAGTGAAAGGACCAAGGTAGTGACATCTCCAGCTCATCCCTTGTTTGGGTATCATCCAGCACATCAACAACTTAAATCAAGAAATAGTTTTCTAAGATCTACAGAGACACTCGCTGGAACACCTCAGCAAGCAAGAGTCCAAAACTGGCAGGCTCAAACCCAGAACCTCAATCAATGGCTGATACCAGATGAGAGACTCCCCCCTGGGCACACAGAAGACTGGGCGACTTGGAAGGCACTGAACAGACTGCGCTCTGGCACCACGAGATGCAGAGCCAACTTCAAGAAATGGGGCCACAAAGTGGAATCTACGACATGCGAGTGTGGAGAAGAGCAAACCACTGACCACCTGCTGCAATGCAACCTGAGCCCTGCCACATGCACCATGGAGGACGTCCTTGCGGCAACACCAGAGGCACTCCAAGGGGCCAGATATTGGTCAAAGGACATTTAATCTACTACCAAGTTTGCAAACTTTGTGTTTTTCTTAACCTGTTCGTTTGTTTTGTTCTATTAGAAATGTAATACAATGGTCTGGTTGCCCCTGACATGATAAATACATAAAATTATTATTATTATTATTATTATTATTAGTAGTAGTAGTAGTAGTAGTAGTAATGTATGCAATATAGATGCCACTCTCGTATGGATCTCTCTTTGGTCACTTAGCCATCATTTATGCAAATACAAAGATTTGTCATCACAGTTGAATTTTAATTTCTATAAACTATTTTTGTAATCGAGGATTTATTCTCTTTTCTTTTGTGGTATTAGTATCTCAGGCTACTACAGTTTTCCTCCAAGTGATTGTGAAAGGGAGGAAAGCAGCAGAGGTCTCAATTTCTTTAAGCTTCTTAAAGGAAAAAAGGATGTGGGATCTTTGTTAATGGAAGGCTTACTGAAAATCCCCCTGTAAATAAAGGAAGCTCCAGAGAGAGAGAGAGAAACATCTACAATAATGATGGGTATCAATTATCATCACATCCCACCAGTAAAAGCCAGACAGTTAAGTCTCCATTTTCCTTGGCTTAGCTCAGCAAACACTCTTTAGAAATCAAAACAACATACATAGCATTACATTTGCCCTTGAATTTGACAAGGTCAGAAGCCTTTATCTCAAGCGTGTCGCCTTGATGCACCATTTTTGAGGGCTTCTGAAACACAGCTGCATTTACTAGGGCTGGGCGGTTTCGTTTCGTTAATTCGTAATTCGTTAATAATTCGTTAATTTTTTCAATTACAAAACGATAACGAACCATTCTGGAGCAATTATTCAAAAAAACGAATTTTCAAAAACGTTTTGTAAATGCTTCGTATTTCGATATTGTATTCGTTTCGTTATTGTTTTGAGGTCGTTTCGTTATTATTTCCGCATGTCTGGGCCAGTTTTATGGTTTAATTAGTGAAAAAAAATTATAATATCACACCAACAGTCAACAAAAGAGGGAGAGGGAAGCTTCAGAAGGTTTTGGAGGTTTTTTAGCGTATTTCGCGGTCATGTCCGCCATTAACGAATCGATTCGTTATTGTTTCGGAAATCGATTCGTTAATTTTTTACCATTTACGAAATTTCGTAAATATCGAACTTTTTAAAAGGAAAATTTTGTAATTATTTTAAATATCGAAACAAAAAAAACCCCAAATACAAATCAATTTTAGAAACAAATTTTTCCGTTGTTACCCAGGCCTAGTATTTACACTTCCTTTACTCACTGTACATTAAAACAAATTCTAGAGGCACAGTAGACATCTGAAACTTTGAATGGACAGGGAGGTGACTTTTCACTTTGGGCCCTTCCAGACAGGTCCTATAGCCCAGGATCTGATCCCAGGTTTTCTGCTTTAAACTGGATTATATCAGTCCACACTGACAGATTTTTTTTTTGTATCAGGAACGACTTGAGAAACTGCAAGTCGCTTCTGGTGTGAGAGAATTGGCTGTCTGCAAAGACATTACCCAGGGGATGCCCAGACGTTTTGGTGTTTCACCATCCTTGTGGGAGGCTTCTCTCATGTCCCAGCATGGGGAGCTGGAGCTGACAGAAGGAGCTCATCCGCACTCTCCCTGGATTCGAACCTCCAACCTGTCGGTCTTCAGTCCTGCTGGCATAAGGGTTTAACCCACTGCATTACTGACAGATAATCTGGGATAAATGGAAAACCTGGGATTAAGTCCTGGGAGAGTGGGGGCCAGGAGACAGTTCCACCTTGTCTCCTGTGCTATGCTAATAATAGAATATAATATAATGTATATACATATAATATTTATAATGTTGTTGTTGTTCATTCGTTCAGTCGTTTCTGACTCTTTGTGACTTCATGGACCAGTCCACGCCAGAGCTCCCTGTTGGTCGTCACCACCCCCAGCTCCTTATAATATATAAAATATGTATAATATTATAATGTAATATAATATAATACTAATAATAATATATTATAATTATATATTTTATATTACATGTAATATTACGAATAATATTGCAATATAATGGTATAGTACAGTATAGTAATATATAATACTGATATTGTACTATGCTAATAATATAATTATTGTATGTATGTATATATATATATATATCTTGTAAGCCACTCTTGAGTCCCTTTCGGGGTGAGAAGGCAGCATATAAATGTCATAAATAAATAAATAAATATAGGGACCTTTGTGGCATTTGAGTATCACCTCTTGAAGTGGAATGTACTAAAAGAAACAGCAAAACTCTATCTTAGAACAGAAGTATAAGCAGGGAGGTTGGGCTCAATACTGGTTAGCCCTGCTCCATCAGTATTTTGATAGGTCAGCAACAACTCTAATGCAGTGGAACAAGAAGGCAATTAGAGACAAAATCTTTGAGCTGGATGCATCTGACATCTTGAGGAGTGAGGCTGAATGGGCCTTAAGAAGCATTGCTAACAACAAGGCAGCAGGAGACAATGGGATGGTTTAGACTTTCTTAGAGCTGAGCAAAATCTCCACAGCATTTATTGAGAGAGATGTTATAAGAGGAGCGGATTTTTCTGGCATGTTATTTCTACATGCCGGGAGAGCTGGCCGAAGCCTGTAATGGAGGCCGGGTAAGCTTTCATTAGTTTTCTAAGGGGTCTGGGGGCTTGGTTTAGACTTTCTTAGAGCTGAGCAAAATCTCCACAGCATTTATTGAGAGAGATGTTATAAGAGGAGCGGATTTTTCTGGCATGTTATTTCTACATGCCGGGAGAGCTGGCCGAAGCCTGTTATGGAGGCCGGGTAAGCTTTCATTAGTTTTCTAAGGGGTCTGGGGGCTTGGTTTAGACTTTCTTAGAGCTGAGCAAAATCTCCACAGCATTTATTTAGAGAGATGTTATAAGAGGAGCAGATTTTTCTGGCATGTTACTTCTACATGCCGGGAGAGCTGGCCGAAGCCTGTAATGGAGGCCGGGTAAGCTTTCATTAGTTTTCTAAGGGGTCTGGGGGCTTGGTTTAGACTTTCTTAGAGCTGAGCAAAATCTCCACAGCATTTATTGAGAGAGATGTTATAAGAGGAGCAGATTTTTCTGGCATGTTATTTCTACATGCCGGGAGAGCTGGCCGAAGCCTGTAATGGAGGCCGGGTAAGCTTTCATTAGTTTTCTAAGGGGTCTGGGGGCTTGGTTTAGACTTTCTTAGAGCTGAGCAAAATCTCCACAGCATTTATTGAGAGAGATGTTATAAGAGGAGCGGATTTTTCTGGCATGTTATTTCTACATGCCGGGAGAGCTGGCCGAAGCCTGTAATGGAGGCCGGGTAAGCTTTCATTAGTTTTCTAAGGGGTCTGGGGGCTTGGTTTAGACTTTCTTAGAGCTGAGCAAAATCTCCACAGCATTTATTGAGAGAGATGTTATAAGAGGAGCGGATTTTTCTGGCATGTTATTTCTACATGCCGGGAGAGCTGGCCGAAGCCTGTAATGGAGGCCGGGTAAGCTTTCATTAGTTTTCTAAGGGGTCTGGGGGCTTGGTTTAGACTTTCTTAGAGCTGAGCAAAATCTCCACAGCATTTATTGAGAGAGATGTTATAAGAGGAGCAGATTTTTCTGGCATGTTATTTCTACATGCCGGGAGAGCTGGCCAAAGCCTGTAATGGAGGCCGGGTAAGCTTTCATTAGTTTTCTAAGGGGTCTGGGGGCTTGGTTTAGACTTTCTTAGAGCTGAGCAAAATCTCCACAGCATTTATTGAGAGAGATGTTACAGGAGGAGAGGATTTTTTCAGGAGGCTTTGCAGACCAGAGGCACTCTATATATACATTTGGGGATTTTTGTTCTCAAGGCATACTGATTTGGGATAGCCAGCCACATTTTTTTTTACAAGTACTGATATCGTATGCTGCATTTGTACTGAATAACGTTGGACATTTAAAGAGAAATCAAGACGAACTGCCAGAAAACTCAAATGAGGTCAGTTTTCTTTCTCTAAATATTTAATGAGGTCAGTGTTCTTCCTACACATTAGAACACTTGCAACCAAAAGTGTAGGATGTGGCTAGATGTCTTGTATTTTTTTCCTTCCTCTGTCCTGTTGATCTTGGCAAGTGTGTATAAACAGGTGGCGAACAGCATCTGACTCAAAGCTGAAACTGCTTTCTAAGCAGGTGTGATTGATCCTGCCCTTTTATTTCGCCTCGCTGTTAAAAAGGAAACTGGGGTGAATCTGCTGAGCTGGAATTCATTACTTTGACCGACTGCATTTATTCTCCAGTGCAGATGCACTCAGAGAAGACTATGGACCTTGGGAAACTATAACTCCCAGGAGGTCTCCATTGCATGGAGCCACGGCATTTAAAGATGGGGTGCAAGGGCATTCATTCCATACTGTAAATGCACCAAGAGAAGGGTATGGACCTTGGGAAACTATAACTCCCATGATGGAACAGCATGGAGACATGGTATAACAACAATAACAACAACAACATTTAAAATGGGTCCTGACAGCATTTATTCTCCAGTGCAGATGCACCCAGAGAAGGGTATGGACCATGGAAAACTATGACTCCCAGGCCGGCACAGCATGGAGACATGGTATAACAACAATAACAATAATAACAACAATAACAACATTTAAAATAGGTCCCGACTGCATTTATTCTCCAGTGCAGATGCACCCAGAGAAGTGTATGGACCTTGGGAAACATTAACTCCCAGGACCGCATAGCATGGAGCCATGGTAATTAAAGTGGGATCCAAGAGCATTCATTCCATAGTGTAGATGCACCCAGAGAAGGGTATGGACCTTGGGAAACTATAACTCCCAGGACCGCATAGCATGGAGCCATGGTATTTAAAGTAAGGTCCAGGAACATTCATTCTATAGTGTAAATGCACCCAGAGAAGGGTATGGACCTTGGGAAACTATAACTCCCAGGACCGCATAATATGAAGCTATGGTATTTAAAGTGGGGTCCAGGAGCATTCATTCCATAGTGTAAATACACCCAGAGAAGGATATGGACTATAACTCCCAGGACTGCACATCATGGAGACATGGTATAACAACAACAACAACAACAACAACAACAACATTTAAAATAGGTCCCGACTCCATTTATTCTCCCGTGCAGATGCACCCAGAGAAGGGTATGGACCTTGGGAAACAATAACTCCCAGGACCTCATAGTATGGAGCTATAGTATTTAAAGTAGGGTCCAAGAGCATTCATTCCATAGTGTAGATGCACCCAGAGAAGGGTATGGACCTTGGGAAACTACAACTCTCAGGACCTGCACATCATGGACACATGGCATAACAGCAGAAGCAGCATTTAAAGTGGGTCTCAGCTGCATTGATTCTCTAGTGCAGATGCACTCAGAGAAAGGTTTGGAGAAGGAACAGGCGTAGCTCACCCACATGCAAAAGGCTCGCATTCACACAAAGGATGCCAGAGTAAAACATCAATCAATTCTAATTGCAATGGCCCTAGTAAACCAAGAGCAAAAGAGGAAAATCTACACTTTATGGCTGCAAATGTTAAAGCTATCACACATCACTCTAGCTGTCAATTTTAAGTCATTCCAGAACTCTACTCAGCCAGCAAAATACCTTGTGAAGGACAAGCGTTTGTGTAGCTGAAAATCATTGACAGGATTTCTGAAAAGCATAACTCAAAGCCATTTTGGCCCTGGCTGCATTTGCGTCACTCCACGAGAACTGTTTGGAAGAACCTGAGCTGCAAGGACAGGCCCAGCCCAAGAAAATGCAAATGCCAGATGACTTGGCAGGGCAGAGCAATCTTTACAAAGAGTCAGGAGAATGCATCTGCAGCCTATATCTACTCAGGGTGGGAGGGAAACGGCACACTTACATGGGCTCTTCAGACACAGTCCTGATCTCCTCCACTTCGTGCGCTTGCTTGAACCAAGGGACCTTCGCTTCAATGGGGCTCTTCTCTGGAAAAAGGGAAACACACATACAGTGGAAACAAAATATTTTACTCCTAATAGTCCAATCCATAGAGAACACAGGAAATAAATGAGATGAATTTGAACTCTTAACACAGCAAAGCAAACGTGATATAATACACACATCACTAAAATCATCATGATTGGAATATGGCATTAGAGCAGTGTCTCTCAACCTAGGGGTCGGGACCCCGGGGGGAGGGGGGTGTCAGAGGGGTATTTTCTGTTGGTCATGGGCAGGGGCGGCTCAACCCATTACGCAAAGTAAGCATTTGCAGTATAGTTGATTTTGCCCAGGGGCGCTCTTGAGGCGCTCTTGGGGGGAAATAGACCTTGACATATGCGAGTTGTAGTTATTGGGATGTATAGTTAGTTGTAGTTATTGGGATGGATCAGGACCAAACTTGGCATGAATACTCAATATGCCCAAATGTTAACACTAGCGAAGTTTGGGGAAAACAGACCTTGACATTTGGGAGTTGTAATTGCTGAGATTTATAGTTCACCTACAATCAAAGAGCATTCTGAACTCCACCAAGGATGGAATTGAACCAAATATGGCACACAGAACTCCCACGATGAACAGAAAATATATATCAGTGATTGGTGGGGGGGGGGGGGGGGGGGGGGGGCGCCAAAATATTGTTTGCTTACCATTGAAAATTACCTAGGGCCGCCTCAGGTCATGGGGCTTCTGTATGGGAAAGTTTGGCCCAATTCTATCATTGGTGGGGTTCAAGGGGCTCTTTGATTGTGTGTGAACTATAAATCCCAGCAACTCCCACTCCCAAATGACAAGTCTATTTTTCCCAAACTCCACCAGTGTTCACATTTGAGCATATTGAGTATTCGTGACAACTTTGGACCAGATCCATCATTAATAATAATAATAATAATAATAATAATAATAATAATAATAATAATAATAATAATAAACAACTTTATTTGTACCCTGCTCCATCTCCCCAATTGGGTCTTGGTGCGGCTTACACGAGGCCAAGCCCAAAACAACAATTACACGAAATAAAACAAAACCGAAAACGCAAATAATAAACAATAATAAAGCAATTACATAAAACAAAAGACAACATAGCAATATAAAATTACAATAAACACAATCACGATAACATGGGTGAGCTACATGTAATGGATAAAAGAAAATTGGGTAGAAACATCATTGTTTAGCGTCCACAGTGCTCTCTGGATGTAGGTGAGCTACAACTCCAAAACTCAAGGTCAATGCCCACCAAACCCTTCCAGTATTTGCTGTTGGTCATGGAACTTCTGTGGGCCAAGTTTGCTTCAATTCCATCATTGGTGCAGTTCAGGATGATCTTTGATTGTAAGTGAACTATAAATCCCAGCAACGACAACTCCCAAATGTCAAGTTCTATTTTCCCCAAACTCTACCAGTGATCACATTTGGGCATATTGAGTATTATCTACCTATCATTGTCTGAGACGACAGCGCTCTCTGGATGTAGATGAACTACAACTCCAAATTCAAAATCAATACCTAACAAACCCTTCCAGTATTTTCTGTTGGTCATGGGAGTTCTGTGTGCCAAGTTTGCTTCAATTCCTTCATTGGTGGAGTTCAGAAAGATCTTTGATTGTAGGTGAACTATAAATCCCAGCAACTACAACTCCCAGATGACAAAATCAATCCCTCCCCCACCCCACCAGTATCCAAATTTGGGCATATTGGATATTTGTGCCGAATTTGGTCCAGTGAATGAAAATAATCCTGCATATCAGATATTTACATTACAATTCATAACAGGAGCAAAATTAGAGTTATGAAGTAGCAATGAAAATAATGTTATGGTTGGGGGGTCACCACAACATGAGGAACTGTATTAAGGGGTCACGGCATTAGGAAGGTTGAGAACCACTGCTTTAAAGGAGTCCATGGTTCTTGCTTGAATGTATATGTTATTTTACTGTATGTATGTTTGTATGGCATCTGTGAGACCGCTCTGAGTCCCTTTTGGGGTTAGAAGGGCGGTATACAACTCTCTTCCAACTCTTTGATTCTATGATTCTATGAAGTACTGAGAAGGGAACACTGTAATCACTACAAGTCAACATGGATTTCTCAAAAACAAGTCATGCCAGACTTATCTCTCTTTCTGATAGTGTTACAAGCTTGGTAGATAAAGGGAATGCTATGGATATAGTATATCTTGATTTCAATAAGGTTTTCATAAGGTCGCCCGTGACTTTTGTGCAAACAAACTAGTATAATATGGATTAGCCAGTGGTTCTCAACCTGTGGGTGGTCAGATGTTTTGGCCTTCAACTCCCAGAAATCCTAATAGCTGGTAAATTGGCTGGGATTTCTGGGAGTTGTAGGCCAAAACACCTAGGGACCCACAGGTTGAGAACCATTGGACTAGACAATGCTGTTTTTAGGTTGCATTGTAACTGTGGTTGACCTGGTGAACCCAAAGGATGCTCACTAACGGTTTCTCTACACTAGTGGTCTGGCACAGGGTTCTTTCCTGGTCCCACTGCTGTTCTATATCTGTAAAAATGACTTGGATGACAGAATAAAGCACATACTTATCCAATTTTGCTGATGACACACAAAATGGAGGGATACATTATATCTAAGGGGGGCAGATAAGAATACAAACGAGCATAACCAATTGGAGAGCTGTGCTAAACTAAAAAAAAAACGAATTTCAACAGGATGTACTGACTGGTCTAAAACAGCGTTTCTCAACCTGGAGGTCGGGACCCCTGGGGGAGTCGCAAGGGGGTGTCAGAGGGGTCACCAAATGCCATCAGAAAACACAGTATTTTCTGTTGGTCATGGGGGTTCTATGTGGGAAGATTGGCCCAATTCTATCATTGACAGGATTCAGAATGCTCTTTCATTGTAAGTGAACTATAACTCCCAGCAACTATCAATTCCCACATGTCAAGGCCTATTTTCCTCAAATTCCACCAGTGTTCACATTTGGGCATATTGAGTATCTGTGCCAAGTTTGATCCAGATCCATCATTGTTTGAGTCCACAGTGCTCTCTGGATGTAGGAGAACTACAACTCCAAAACTCAAGGTCAATGCCCACCAAACCCTTCCAGTATTTTCTGTTGGTCATGGGAGAGGTCTGTGTGCCATGTTTGGTTCAATTTCATCATTGGTGAAGTTCTGAGTATTCTTTGATTGTAGATGAACTATAAATCCCAGCAGCAACAACTCCCAAATGACAAAATCAATCCCCCCCCCCCCCCAACCCCACCAGTATTCAAATTTGGGCGTATCAGATATTTGTGCCAAATTTGGTCCAGTGAATGAAAATACATTCTGCATATAAGATATTTACATTATAATTCATACAATTACAGTTATGAAGTAGCAACAAAAATAATTTTATGGTGGGGGGGGGGGTCACCACAACATGAGGAACTGTATTAAGGGGCCGCGGCATTAGGAAGGTTGAGCAGCACTGGTCTAAAATGATACAGAAAAAATGAAATGAAGGAATATGTATATGATGGGTGACACCTGGCTTGAGAACAGTATGTGTGAAAGGGATCTAAGAGTCTTGGGGTGCATTTACACTGGGGATTTAAAGCAGTTTGACATCACTTTGCTATAGTAGTTTCCAATCGACACAGCTCAGTCAATATGAATCAGCAAGCATATTGAAGTTACCTTTGGGCTTGTAACAAGGAACTGGCACAATACACTCTTCTTTGATGTGCAGCTTAAGTTGGGGGTTGCAGCCACCAGTGTGCTGTCCGCGATGATCAATGCACAACACTACTCGATAACGTAACCCTCGGCCACATGTCACAGTACACTACAGGAAATGATCCAGTGAGACAAAAAGAATTAAAAGAGGTGTCTATGAGTCAGTGATTACTGGTTGATTTAATTATTTGTCTTTGGGCTAATTAATAGTTTAATAATTGAACAAAGGGAAGGGTCTTCAAGGAGCGGTGGGTAAAATCAGTTCTTTTATATGGCCCAGAATTACACTGACAACAGCTGCGCACCACAACTGTTGACTCTACTTTGCTACTTCAAGTTGAAATCCAACTTACTAATGTCTTGAAAGAGCTCTCCAGTTACTGTAAAGATAACCACCTGAGGCCTAACTCTGCCAAGACACAAGTGTGTGTTTTCCACCTACAGACTGAGCAGCCAACGGGAAGTTGAAAATTGCCTGGTAGGGTTGGGGGCTTGAATGTTGAAATCGAAATCCAAAAACCAGTCAGGGTCAATTGATTGCCATATGTTGTGTGATCTTCTTCCACTTGCTACTCACTGATCAAACGCTTGGTCCTATCACCAGGTCTTGATTTTTCTTCTAAAAGACAAGAGGAAGGTGGCCAATCTGATATCTCTAGGGAGGGCATTCCATAGGCAGGGAGCCACTGCTGAGAAGGCCCTGTCTCTCATCCCCATCAACTGTGTTTGCGATAGTGGTGGGATCGAGAGCAGGGCCTCTCCTGAAGATCTTAAACTTTGTGATGGTTCGTGGCAGGAGATACGTTCGGACAGGTAGTCTGGGCCAGAACCATTTAGGGCAGTGGTTCTCAACCTGAGGTCCCCAGATGTTTTTGGCCTTCAACTCCCATAAATCCTAACAGCTGGTAAACTGGCTGGGATTTCTGGGAGTTGTAGGCCAAAAACATCTGGGGACCCCAGGTTGAGAACCACTGATTTAGGGCTTCAAAGGTTAAAACCAGCACTTTGAATTGTGCTCGGAAGCTGATCAGTATCTAGTGGAGTTGCCATAACAAAGGAGTTGTATGTTCCTTGTACGTCGCTCAGGTGAGCAACCTGGCTGCCAATTGTTGGACTAGTTGAAGCTTCTGAGCAGTCTTCAAATGCAGCCCCACATTGCAGTAGTCTATTCGGGATGTAACAAGAGCATGGACCACTGTGGCCAATTCAGACTTTTCAAGGAATGGGCACAGCTGGCACACAAGCTTTAATTGTGCAAAAGCTCTCCTGGCTACTGCCAAGATCTGGGGTTCCAGGCTCAGCAATGAGTATGTTGAGATTAACTTCACAATTCAGCAGCAGATCAGTTGCACAACTTCAGCACTTTCCAGTAGCTTCTTCCTGCACAGTATTTTCAGTCAACTGCTCCCACAGCCTGCATTCACTCTGGAACCTTTTACAGACACTTGAGCACATGCCCAGCCATTGTCAATTTTACCGTTGTCTTTCCCCCAGTCTAGATGATATTACAAGCTTACCACAGCATACAGTTATATCTTGTCTTAGCAGACAGGTTCTTTTAATTACATATAGCCTTCGACAAACAACATCACAGCACAAGGAGAGATATACACTGTACATGACTTCCTTATATACAATTCATTTACACATAGCAATCACCGATTGGTTCCCAACTCACTGACTCAACTCAGACCCAGGATTACATCATTCACAATCACCTGGACTAAGCCAGAATACATTCCCCAAATGAAGTTCTATATACAGTTAATGCATGACTCAGCATTTCCAATAGAAGCCCATTAGCAGTGAATGACTCAGCTATATTACATTACAATACATTGTAAAACCTGACAGAGTATATAACCTTCAAAATACTGTCCTCACAAAACCCATCCTCATTGAAAAATAAAGGTTTGAATTCTTTTCCAAGCCAGCTTACCTGTGACCATTCCAAAGCTATCCATTTAGGGCAATCATACAGGTTGCAGGCTTGCATGGTTTTTGGTTTGGGGGCATACATGCATTTCCACTCCTCGACTTGTAAGACCTCTCCGTGCATAGTCTCCTCCACGCACACAAAACTTCTCCTCTGAATCCCACCTCCGCATGAAACAGAACATGAAGTCCATGGGTTGTGTTCCCAGCTGGGTGGGAAAACGAACAACAATAATTGGGTAAAAACTCCACCTTTCATTTGTTTTATACATGCCAAATGAGATGAAAACAACACACTATTGTCAATATTCTTGGCCAGGCTACTTTTCTCAACCTAAACCAGTGGTTCTTCAGCAACACATATACTGGAATTTATATTATTAGCAAAATGCTCATTTCATCCTCATAGAGGTCATACATACCGAGGAAGAGGCTGGAAGTGATCATAGGGCATGATTTCTTTGAATCCATCACTGAGTAAAAGAAAAAAATAAATTATTTTCTAGACTATATTTCTCTACATAACATACAAATTCATATATAAACACACCCTGTTTGGTTCTCTACGTGGGGTTGCCTTTGAAGACTGTCCGGACTAGTTGAAGCTTCAGATTGCTAACAGGAGCAGCGCTCAGGGAGCACACAACTCCTCTGTTGCGTCAGCTCCACTGGCTGCCAGTCTGCTACCGGGCACAATTCAAGGTTTTGGCTTTAGCCTATAAAGCCCTAAACGGTTCTGGCCCAACTTACCTGTCGGAACGCATCTCCCCTTATGAACCCTCCAGGACTTTAAGATTGTCTGGGGAGGCCTTGCTTTCGGTCTCGCCTTCATCACAAGTATGGCTGGCGGGAACGAGAGACAGGGCCTTCTCAGTGGTGTCCCCTCAGCTATGGGACACCCTCCCTAAGGATGTCAGATTGGGGCCCTCCCTTTTAACATTTGGAAAGAGAGTCAAGACTTGGCTCTTTGAGCAGGCATTTCCAAATACAGTGTAATAGACACAGGAAAATGGAATGGTTGGAAGATGTGATTGGACAATGTTTTTAATAGGAGACCCTAATATTCATGTTTTTATTGGCTTTGTTATGGTTTTATTATCCAATTGTTTTTATTGTATTGAAATTGTATTTTATGACCTTCGCACCAATTGCAAACTGCCCCAAGTATCGTGGGGACTGAGAGGGACAGGATATAAATATCTATATAAATAAAAATGTAATGTCCGTTTGTGGGATTAACATAACTCAAAAACAATTGGATGAATTGCCACCAAATTTGGCCAAAAGACATTTACTAACCCAAGGAGTGACTATCACTAAAAAAATTTGATTTGATCTGTTTCCCTCAAACTCCGTCTGTGTTCATATTTGGGCATATGGAATATTCGTGCCAAGTTTGGTCCAGATTCATCATTGTTTGAATGCACAGTGCTCTCTGGATGTGGGTGAACTACAACTCCCAAACTCAAGGTCAATGCCCACCAAACCCTTCCAGTGTTTTCTGTTGGTCATGGCTGTTCCGTGTGCCACGTTTGGTTCAATTCCATCATTGGTTGAGTTCAGTATTCTCTTTGATTGTAGGTGAACTATAAATCCCAGCAACTGCAACTCCCAAATGACAAAATCTATTTTTTTTAGTGATGGTCACTCCTTGAGTCAGTAGGTGTCTTGTGTCCAATTTTGGAGTCAATTCATCCAGTGGTTTTTGAGTGATGTTAATCCCACAAACGAACATGACATTTTTATTTATATAGACTAGCCGTTCCCTGCCACGCATTGCTATGGGCTACATGGGGGTTCTATGTGGAAGGTTTGGCCCAATTCTATCATTGGTGGGGTTCAGAATGCTCTGCGATTGTAGGTGAACTATAAAACCCAGCAACTACAACTTCCAAATGTTCAATTCCATCATTGGTGGGGTTCAGAATGCTCTTTGATCGTAGGTGAACTATAAATCCCAGCAACTACAACTCCCAAATGACAAAATCAGGTTTTTTGAGTGAAGGACATACATTGGGTTCTTAGGTGTCTTGTGTCCAAATTTGGTGTCAATTCCCCCAGTGGTTTTTGAGTTCTGTGAATACCACAAATGAACATTACATTTTTATTTATATAGATTCGTGTAGCACAATATCAGTATTATATTACTATATTGTACTATACCATTATATTGTAATATTATTAGCAATGTAAATGTAATATAAAATATATAATTATAATAGCATATTATTATTATTATTATTATTATTATTATTTACCCCACAGCATCTTAACACCTCCCACTTTATATCACTATTTAGAGCAAACTAGCTGTACCCACCATGCTTTGCTGTGGCCAACTTTCCCTCCCTCTTTCTCTCTTTTTTCCCTACCCTTCCTTCCCTCCCTCTTTCCTTCCTTCCCTCTTTTTCTTTCCCTTCTTCTTTCTTCCTTCTCTACCTGTTTCTTTTCTCACTTCCTTTGCTCTTTGGTTCCCTCCTTCCTTGTCTCTTTCCTTCCTTCCCTCTTTCTCTTCCTTCTCTCCTTCTTCCCTCTTTTCACTTTTTTTTTCTTCTCTCCTTCCTTTCCTTCTTCTCTCTCTCCTCTTTCACTTTTCTATTTCCTTCTCTCCTTCCTTCTCTACCTTTCTTTCTTTCCTTTTCTCCTCCCCTCCTTCTTTCCCTCTTTCTCTCCCTCCTTCTCTCCTTCCTTCCGTCTCTACCCTTCTTTCTTTCTTCCTTCTCTCTTCCTCTTTCTCTCTCTCCCTCCTTCTCTTTCCTCCCTTCTTTCCCTTCTCCTTCTTCCTTCTCTGCTTCCCTCCTTCTTTCTCTTCTCTTCCTTCTCTACTTCCTCCTTCTCTACCTTCTTTCTTTCCTTCCTCTCTCTTCCCTCCTTCTTTCCTCTCCTCTTCTCTCCTCCCTTCCTTCCTTCTCTGCTTCCCTCCTTCTTTCTCTTCTCTCCCTCCTTCTCTACTTCCTCCCTTCTCTACCCTTCTTTCTTTCCTTCCTTCTCTGCTTCCCTCCTTCTTTCTCTTCTCTCCCTCCTCTACTTCCTTCCTTCTCTACCCTTCTCTCTTTCCTTCCTTCTCTCCTTCGCTCCTTCTTTCTCTCCCTCCTCTCCTTCCTTCTCTACCCTTTTTTCTTTCTTTCTTTCTCTCCCCTCCTTCTCGCCCTCCTTCTTCCTTCCCCCTTTCTGTGCATGTGTTTTGTGTGTGTGTATATATGTGTGTTTGCCTATATATGTAGTTTTGCGCATGCGTTGTAATGTAATTTTTGGCTTTTTGGCTTTTTAAATCCCCTCTGCTGTGTTTTTCAGTGTTTTTATGAGTGATGGTCACTTGTTGGCCTGAGAGGTGTCTTGTGTCCAAATTTGGTCTCAATTCGTCCAGTGGTTTTTGAGTTACGTTACTCCCACAAACGAACATTACATTTTTATTTATATAGATGCTCAGATTAAGTGTTCTGCAGCAACAAAGCTCTCATCCTACTTCCAAAAGATTCAGTATCCTTTTATGAGCTGTATTCAAGTTTTGCCAGATTAGGTCTGAACAGGAGGCCTCCTAAGTTGGGAGCATATAGACCTCTGAATGGGTCTTTCCTGCAATCAAAGATTAAGTTCCACTGATATTGGAGGAAACAGGACAGTTTAGGTTTAGGAAATGAAACCCTTTGACAGCATTTCCTATTTTCGCTTCTTCGCTATGTCTCTGGCTTTGCCAGCTGGCATTTTAATGTGAGGTTCTGGGCTAGATAACTGTGGTGTTATTTTAAGATACTTCAGGAGAGCCAGGAAACAACACCAGACAGCCCAACAGCCAGAAAGCCTGAAATGTCACCAGGCAACTCAAATCTAATGTTCGTTTGTGGGATTAACATAACTCAAAAACCACTGGACGAATTGCCGCCAAATTTGGCTACAAGACACCTATCAGGCCAACGAGTGACCATCATAAAAAAAAATTGATGTTGTCATTTGGGAGTTTGTAGTTGCTGGGATTTATAGTTAACCTACTATCAAAGACCCTTCTCAATATGCCCTTCTCTTGTGCTACAACCCTCTTGCTCAGTGTTTCTCAACCTTCTTAATACCGTGACCCCCTCATGTTGTAGTGACCCACAAGCATAAAATTATTTTGTCACCATGTCAGACTACACAGAGAAGCCACTGAAATCCACAACCATGTGGGCAATTTCAACAGAAAGGAGGAAACCATGAAAATGAACAAAATCTGGCTACCAATATTAGAAAACTCTAAAATTGCATCAGCAAAACAGCAGAAGGAAAACAATCAGGCACATCTAATCACCTCTCAACAAAAGATTCCCCCAGGTACTGCCAGGCCATCAAATGCTAGTCAGTTGAAACATTCCCACCTAGCTCCAGCAGATAAGAGTCCTTTGCCCCACCCTGCTCATTCCACAGATATATAAACCCATTTTCCTACTTCCAACAGACCTCACTCCCTCTAAGGATGCTTGCCATAGATGCAGGCGAAACGTCAGGAGAAAATGCCTCTAGAACATGGCCATATAGCCCGGAAAAACCTACAACAACCCAGTGATTCCGGCCATGAAAGCCTTCGACAATACAGTAATGAAGTAGCAACATTATTTTCGTTGCTACTTCATTACTGTAATTTTGCTAGTGTTATGAATCGTAATGTAAACACCTGATACGCAGGATACCCGATACGCCCAAATTTGGGGTTGGTTTTTTCATTTAGGAGCTGTAGTTGCTGGAATTTATAGTTAACCTACTATCAAAGAGCATTCTGAATTCCACCAACAATGGAATTGAACCAAATTTGGAACACAGGACTCCCATGACCAACAGAAAATACTGGAAGGGTTTGGTGGGCACTGACCTTGAGTTTTGGAGTTGTAATTCATCTATATCTAGCGAGCACTGTGAACTCAAACAATGATAGATCTGGACCAAACTTAGCATGAATATTCAAAATGCCCAAATGTTAACACTGGTGAAGTTTGGGGAAAATATACCTTGATATTTGGGAGTTTTAGTTGCTGGGATTTATAGTTAACCTACTATCAAAGAGCATTCTGAATTCCACCAACGATGGAATTGAACCAAACTTTGCACACAGAGCTCCTATGACCAACAGAAAATACTGGAAGAGAATGGTGGGCATTGACCTTGAGTTTTGGAGTTGTAGTTCACCACATCCAGAGAGCACTGTGGACTCAAAAAATGGTGGATCAGGACCAAACTTGGCATGAATACTCAATATACCCAAATGTGAACACTGGTGAAGTTTGGGGAAAATAGACCTTGACATTTGGGAGTTGTAGTGGCTGGAATTTATCATTCACCTACAATCAAAGAGCATTCTGAACCCCACCAACAATGAAATTGGCCCAAACTTCCCACACAGAAACCCCATGATCAACAGAAAATACTGTGTTTTAGTTATTTATTTATTTATTTATTTATTTGGAGTGCTCCTACCCCGCCCTTCTCAACCCCCTAGGGGGGACTCAGGGCGGCTTACAAAAGGCACAATTCGATGCCTAACAATTCACAAAATACAATATACAATTTACAATATAACGACGACAATTAATTAACTAATTAAAACAGTCAAATTAAAACAACAGCAGCAATAAAATCTGATGGTCTTTGGCAGCCGCTCTTGACACCCCCCTCTCAACCCCCACTCAGTAACGCTGAGTTAAAGCAATACCTTCCCATGTTCCCTTTGAACCCACAACCCATGTGTCTTGTATAAAGGCTGCTTTATATGGCACCACTAATATATCTTGACAGGGGGGCAAACAATCCCACCGCTGCCACCCAAATTATAAAGGCATTAAAAGGCTGTCTGGGCAGGGGGGTCAAAGTATCCCACTGCTGCCACCAAATTATAAAGGCACGTCGTGTGGCCAAACAATATCTCTGGACGGGGGGGGGGGGCAAACCAGATCCCACCAACTGTCCCTCCAATATAAAGAATTCACACCACTTTGGCACCAATATAACGTTTGAGGGGATGTCTCTCTGATTAACTTCCCCTGCCACCATAAATAAATGTACAGGAACACTCTAGCTGTAAAATCTTAAAATGGTTTTAAAGATCACCAAGCACTGGGTTTTAATATTTCTTCTTATGTGCTTCTTTAAAGGAAAACAAGTTGAGGTTGAATGGAGAAAACTATATCCACAAATGGTACACTTGACTCAGGCTTTTAAGTTTTAAAATAAACAAGGAAAGTTTATTGATATAAATACAGAAGAAAGTAGATGCTGGTTAAAAGCTTGATGGTTACAGAGAATTTCTGGCTTGTCTTTAAAGCGTAATGGTTACATGTGAATGTCCTTTCTTTGTTACTAATACAGAGAGTTTCTTCTTTAAAACAAAACCAAGTATACTTAACAGGAGTTGAATCTCTGTCAAGATACAACTGTAGCTTAGCTACCCTAAACTGAGGCCTAGCTAACTACACTCCAGCTATCTCTCCCTGATAGCTGTACCAGTTTGCTACAGCTTCTATTTGCTGGCAAACCTAAGGCAAACTGCCTACTCTTAACACGGACTCCTAAAACTACCTTCCTATTCCTACTCTCTAACAACAACAGACTGACTGAAAAAGCCTCCTTCTTTCCCTCCAAACAGTCTAACTCCGCCCCCCTTTAATAAGCCAATCCTGGCTGTTCTAAGGCTGTCTCAGGCCTAGGCCACTCCCCCTCTCTGAAATGGTGCTTTCCCTAAACCAAAATGGCTCCTGCTGCTTTCTGCCAGGCCCTCCAAAGCTGCAACTAACTGGCCTGCCTCTCCTAGGCCCTGCCACCCAGGCTGGAAAGGTAAGGGATCTTTACATCTTGCATACCTAACTTACCCCATTCACAAGGACCCCTGTAGCCTGCACATCATTGTACATAATTATGATGGATGTCTGATTCATTAAAATAATGTATGAGTTGTTGTAGCTTTTTTCGGGCTATATGGCCATGTTCTAGAGGCCTCTGAGGATGCTTGCCATAGATGCAGGCGAAACGTCAGGAGAGAATGCCTCTAGAACATGGCCATATAGCCCAAAAAAAGCTACAACAATCCAGTGATTCCGGCCATGAAAGCCTTCAACAATACATTGAACAACGTACGAGCTTGCTATAACATAAATACCAATCATCCATTTACATGTACATGGGATGCAAACCTTGACGGACAGGGATCCATGTTGCACTCTTTCAGTTTTGGCTTTGGTTTCTTGTTTTCTGGGTAGTAATGGCACTGCTGATCTGGCACGACACGCTTTGAACGGATATCTACGCACTCTGCAGAATTCAGCTGATAACCTATGGGGGGATGTGGGAGAATATGAACCAAATGAAAATGCATTTTTTTTCCTGGCCAAATGTATTTTTGCAACTGATTTTACATCCCTCCACGGTTTCACTGGGCTATAGAGAAACATGCAAGATTTAGATGGGAACCATTTCTTAAAAACATTTCGATAGGACCATCAATGAAAGGAGGAAGCGATAAAATAGTGGGCTGCTGTGAGTTTTTCGGGCTGTATGACAAGGTAATAAGCAGCTAATTCCAGAAATTCCAGAAATCAGCAGGTAAGTTTTCCTTAACAGCTTATTCTTAGCATGTTAAAAATGCATAATGCTGTGTTTGAACATAATAATAATAATAATAATAATAATAATAATAATAAGAAGAATGTAATATAATATATTGTATATACATAACATATTTATAATATTATAATGTAATGCAATATAATACTACTACTAATAATATAATACTATAATTATATATTTATATTACATGTAATATTACTAATAATATTACAATATAATGACATAGTACTATATAGTAATATTGAATACTGATATTGTAGTATGCTAATAATATAATATATTGTATGTATATATACCTTGTAAGCCGCTCTGAGTCCCCTTTGGGGTGAGAAGGGCGGCATATAAATGTCGTAAATAAATAAAAATAAATAATAATAATAATATTTATTATTATTTTGTGTCAGTAAAATAATAATAACAACAACAATAACAGCAGCAGCAGCAGCAACAACAACAATATTTTTTGTTATCGAAGACTTTCATGGACGGAATCACTGGGTTGCTGTGAGTTTTTTCGGTTGTATGGCCATATTACAGAAGCATTCTCTCCTGACATTTCACCTACTCTGTGGCAAGCATCCTTAGTTTATTCAGAGGTCTGTAGGAAATGAGGCAAGTGGAGTCTATCTATCTATCTATCTATCTATCTATCTATCTATCTATCTATCTATCTATGAAATGCCCAGGGTGCAAGAAAGAACCAGTGTCTGTTCTTTGCAAATAATACCACTCAGAAACATGGGACGTCCAGACAGCAAACAATCAAGTGCCAGTTAACACTTCCAAAGCAAAGAATGCCTTCAGGCACAACAGCCAGGCTACCTCTATGCAGATACCCTCACTGATTGACTTTGCTGCTACAAGACTACTCAATGCTAATCAAGCTTGCTAACTGTAACATTCACACTTGCTTCAAACAGATGCTGGTTCTTTCTCCCAATCTGGACATTCCACAGATATACTGTGTGTGTGTATATTTACATTATTTTACTCTATTTATTATTGTTACATTTATTATTTTACTCTATTTATTATTATTACATTTATTATTTTACTCTATTTATTACTGTTGTTATTATTTATTATTTTACTCTATTTAGTGCTATTATTATAGTACATTTATTATTTCGCTGTATTATTACTGTTATTATTACATTTCCATTATTTTACTCTATTATTTTTATTATGTTTATTATTTTACTCTATTTATTATTATTATTATTATTATCATTACATTTTCATTTCACTCTATTATTCCATACATATTCCACTTGCCTCATTGCCAAGAGACCTCTGAACAAACCTTTGATGATGCTTGCCACATATGCAGGCGAAACATCAGGAGAGAATGCTACTGGAACAGGGCCATACAGCCCGAAAAACTCACAGCAACCCAGTGATTCTGGCCATGAAAGCCTTCAACAACAAAGGATTCCCCCAGGCAGTAAGAAGCCAGACCTTGAAACTGCTGGGCCATTAAATGCTAATTAAGGTGGCCAACTGAATCATTCACACCTACTTCAAACAGACAAAAGTTATTTCTCAGACCCTGGGAAAAAACAGATATATAAACCCCATTTTCCTAGTTTACAACAGACCTCACAACCTCTGAGGATGCCTGCTATAGATGCAGGCAAAACGTCAGGAGAGAATGCTTCTGGAACATGGCCAGACAGCCCAGAAAACTCAGGAGCTGTCTTCATAGACCTGTCAGCAGCCTATGATACTGTGAACCACCGCCTCCTCCTGAGAAAAATGTGTAATATCACAAAGGACGACCACCTCACCCGCCTCATAGGAAACCTGCTACAAAACAGGAGCTTTTTTGTTGAGTTCCAGGGCCAGAAAAGCAGATGGCGGAAACAGAAGAACGGCCTGCCTCAGGGGAGCGTGCTCGCTCCATCCATGTTCAACATCTACACAAATGACCAGCCACTGCCAGAAGGGACAGAGAGTTTCATCTATGCTGATGATCGTGCCATTACCACTCAAGCAGGGAGCTTTGAGACGGTTGAACAGAAGCTCTCCGAAGCTCTAGGTGCTCTTACTGCCTATTACAGGGAAAACCAGCTGATCCCTAATCCATCTAAAACACAGACATGTGCCTTTCACCTTAAGAACAGACAAGCATCCCGAGCTCTGAGGATGACCTGGGAAGGAATCCCACTGGAGCATTGCAGCACACCCAAATACCTGGGAGTCACTCTGGACCGTGCTCTTACCTACAAGGAGCATTGCCTGAACATCAAGCAAAAAGTGGGTGCTAGAAACAATATCATACGAAAGCTGACTGGCACAACATGGGGATCACAGCCAGACACAGTGAAGACATCTGTCCTTGCGCTATGCTATTCTGCTGCTGAGTACACATGCCCAGTGTGGAACACATCTCATCACGCTAAAACAGTGGATGTGGCTCTTAATGAGACATGCCGCATTATCACGCGGTGTCTGCTCCCCATACCACTGGAGAAATTACACTGCTTAGCTGGTATTGCACCATCTGACATCCGCTGAGAAGTAGCAGCCAATAGTGAAAGGACCAAGGCAGAGACATCTCCAGCTCATCCCCTGTTTGGGGATCAGCCAGCACATCAACGACTTAAATCAAGAAATAGTTTTCTAAGATCTACAGAGACACTCGCTGGAACACCTCAGCAAGTGAGAGTCCAAAAGTGGCAGGCTCAAACCCAGAACCTCAAGCCATGGGTGATACCAGATGAGAGACTCCCCCCTGGGCACACAGAAGACTGGGCGACTTGGAAGGCGCTGAATAGACTGCGCTCTGGCACCAAGAGATGCAGAGCCAACCTTAAGAAATGGGGCCACAAAGTGGCGTCCACGACATGCGAGTGTGGAGAAGAGCAAACCACTGATCACCTGCTGCAATGCAACCAGAGCCCTGCCACATGCACAAGGGAGGACCTCCTTGCGGCAACACCAGAAGCACTCCAAGTGGCCAGATACTGGTCAAAGGACATTTAATCAACTACCAAGCTTGTAAATTTTGTGTATTGTCTGTTTGTTTGTTTTGTTCTGTTAGAAATGTAATACAATTGACTGGTTGCCTTGACACGAAGAAAAAAAAGCCCAGAAAACTCACAACAACCCAAAAAACCCCCAATAAAAGTGTGTTTATACTTAGGACGGATGAGCTTGAGTAGACAGAGCTTTTAAAGATAGACAGGGCCACTACATTAGGAGTATACAGAAAACCACTCTCATATAAAATGAAGTACTCAAGCCACCTTTCAAGTTTGTACTTGACACAAGCAACTCAATTTTTGTTGCATGAAAAATATTCACGAGCATATCTACGATAACTGAACTGGCTGCAAATGTTACCATTCGACATTCTCTCTCTTAACGTCTCTCTTGTAAAGCAAATCAGGAAGAACCTAATATTACTCACAGCAGGAATTTATGGCACATTTTTGATAAAGCGCACAGTTAGAAAGCTATAAATCCACCACTTAAAATCCACAGCTGTACACACTCCCAAGCCGCAGCCATTACTCACCTCCTCCGCATGTCACAGTGCAAGGGAAGAACTCAGTTTGTCTCCACTGATGACTTATGGGTTGATAGAAGAAGAACTGAACCACGCTGTCCTTGGGGGAAGTATACCTGGCCTAAAGAGAGTCCAGTTACAACACATTTGTATGCCCCGTGCCAGCACAATACGGCTTGTTTAACATACAACTCATGCACAAAACGGCAGTGTAGAAAGCCCCGCATGACATAAAGGAAAAAGAAAATAATATTAAACAATGCAGAAAATCTGGATCACCACTGTTTCAAGCAAAAGGTTTTGGTTATCAGGTATTCACTATCTCCAGTCATCTATATAAATCAAAAATGTAATGTTCGTTTGTGGGATTAACAGAACTCAAAAACCACTGGACAAATTGACACCAAATTTGGACACAAGACACCTAACAACCCAATGTATGTCCTTCACTCAAAAATTGATTTGGTCATTTGGGAGTTGTAGTTGCTGGGATTTATACTTCACCTACAATCAAAGAGCGTTCTGAACCCCATCAACTGATGATCGTGCCATCACCGCTCAAGCAGGGAGCTTTGAGATGGTAAAACAGAAGCTCTCCGAAGCTCTAGGTGCTCTTACTGCCTATTACAGGGAAAACCAGCTGATCCCTAATCCATCTAAAACACAGACATGTGCCTTTCATCTCAAGAACAGAGAAGCACCCCGAGCTCTGAGGATTATTACCTGGGAAGGAATCCCACTGGAGCATTGCAGCGCACCCAAATACCTGGGAGTCACTCTGGACCGTGCCCTGACCTACAAGAAGCACTGCCTGAACATCAAACAAAAAGTGGGTGCTAGAAACAATATCATACAAAAGCTGACTGGCACAACCTGGGGATCACAACCAGACACAGTGAAGACATCTGCCCTTGCGCTATGCTACTCTGCTGCTGAGTACTCATGCCCAGTGTGGAACACATCTCACCACACTAAAACAGTGGATGTGGCTCTTAATGAGACATGCCGCATTATCACAGGGTGTCTGCGCCCTACACCACGGGAGAAATTACACTGCTTAGCCGGTATTGCACCACCTGACATCCGCCGGGAAGTAGCAGCCAATAGTGAAAGGACCAAGGCAGAGACATCTCCAGCTCATCCCCTGTTTGGGTATCAGCCAGCACGTCAACGACTTAACTCAAGAAATAGTTTTCTAAGATCTACAGAGACACTCGCTGGAACACCTCAGCAAGCAAGAGTCCAAAAGTGGCAGGCTCAAACCCAGAACCTCAAGCCATGGGTGATACCAGATGAGAGACTGCCCCCTGGGCACACAGAAGACTGGGCGACTTGGAAGGCGCTGAATAGACTGCGCTCTGGCACCAAGAGATGCAGAGCCAACCTTAAGAAATGGGGCCACAAAGTGGCGTCCACGACATGCGAGTGTGGAGAAGAGCAAACCACTGATCACCTGCTGCAATGCAACCTGAGCCCTGCCACATGCACAAGGGAGGACCTCCTTGCGGCAACACCAGAAGCACTCCAAGTGGCCAGATACTGGTCAAAGGACATTTAATCAACTACCAAGCTTGTAAATTTTGTGTATTGTCTGTTTGTTTGTTTTGTTCTGTTAGAAATGTAATACAATTGACTGGTTGCCTTGACACAACAAATAAAATAAAACCCCATCAAGGATGGAATTGAACCAAACTTGGCACACAGTTCTCCCATGACCAACAGAAAATACTGGAAGGGTTTGGTGGGTAGTGTCCTTTAGTTTTGGAGTTGTAGTTCACCTACATCCAGAGATCACTGTGGACTCAAACAATGATGCGTCTGGACCAAACTTAGCACAAATACTCAGTATGCCCTAATGTGAACACTGGCGGAGTTTGGGGAAAACAACCTTGACACTTGGGAGTTGTAGTTGCTGGGAGATATAGTTCCCCTACAATCAAAGAACATTCTGAACCCTACCAACGATAGAATTGGGCCAAACTTCCACACAGAACTCCCATGACCAACAGAAAATACTTAAGGCCACCCAGTCCAACTCCCTTCACCAGGGCAAGAAAACGCAATCAAAGCCCTCCTGACAAAGAGCCATCCAGCCATAGATATAGATAGATATAGATGATTCACACACATACATGTATAGCACAGATATAGTAACATAGATTGGAACAATTATATGTTGCCAGTTCCAGAGTAGGCAAACCAGACAATCTCCACATCAACACTGACTGTGCTGTCGCACGCTAGGCTTGTGCATTAGACTGTAGACAGGACATAAATTCTGTGTGCCCAATGGGATGCCGGGGCTGCCTCAGATCAAAGGCCCTTAGATTCCCCCAAACAGAGTCTTTAGATTGCTTAAAGTAAATCCAACAAAGTTCTTTATTGATGAAAACAAACAGGTACTTTCAAGCTTTCTTAACAGTCTATTGGCTCTCTCAATCTTGTTCACTGGGAACAGGCACTATCTTCATAACTGTAATTAACTAATGGGGAAATCCTTAACTTCTAATCTGGGCAGTCTGTCTTTGCCTCTGTTGGCGTGGAGCCCCTGCACCCGGTACCAACTGCGTCTGGCTTCCGCGAGCGACCCTTACCAAGCAGAGATTTGTAGACTTCCAGGGAAAAGGAGTTCAGGTTTCGGTGATGGCTGGCTGAAGTCCCTCTGCAAAGGAGCTGTAAAGCTGTATGATCCTCGGCCAAGCTGTGGGCTGTATAACCCCAGCCAAGCTGTAGAGCCTTTTCTCCCCGGCCAAGCTGTATATCTCCCCAGCCAAGCTGTAGAAGATGAAGCTTTCTACAGGAGCTCTTGGTTTTATGTCCTGTGCGAAAGGCTTCTCTGTGAGAACTGACTCAAAAAGGCTCCTATTCCCTCAAAACTCAAAAAGGGGCGGGACCAGGGAACCTAACGATAATTGACAGGTGGCTTGCCCTATGATTGCAGCCAAAAGAAGCCACCTATCTGCAGAGTCCCTGAAATTTAGGACTACAAACAAACACTCAGTGCAAAGCAAACAAAATTGGAGCTCCTGGAACAGCTGTTCCAGAACACTGACAAAGAAACAGCAAGAAACACTGTTTACCCACAAGCATAAAGACATTACATATATTAGAAACCAACACTTTCTCATTACTTTATTTCCCAGCTCTCCAAACTGGGCCACAGCAATGCGTGGCAGGGGATGGCTAGTTCTGAATAAATTAGTTTAGGATTGAGCTGGACTCATTCAAACGCTGCCTATCTTGCCAGACCAAACTCCCTCTGCACTCTAAATTGGCTGTCTTATTCTCCTTCTTTAATACCTTAAGTAACTTGGATGGTAAACTGTGCTGAACAATAGCTTCCTTTTTCCACTCCAAGTGACTGCAAGCAATATGTGCTTTTGCAATGTGGTTAAGCATTGTGGGGATAACAGGTGGTCTATAAATGGGAGAGTATTAAGACATTGTAAAACATTGGCAACCTGCAGGCATTTCGACTACATATTAACTTCACTTCCTGGGAATTACCAGGATAGGATCAAAGGACATTATTCCACCCGGACACAATAGATGTCGCTGTGTATGTGCATGCACACTTGAGCATAACTGCACACACATTTCTTAATCTTTCTGAAGTTTTGGAAAGATCCAAAATATCAGGATGGTAAAAAAGTCCTTGGGGCTTGTCTACATGGCTACAATTCAGGCAATAAGATGTTATTGACGATTCACTTGGAATCTGTTTTAGAAAACCTTGAATTTCATTGGTCCAAGGCAGTTCAAGTGGTGTCAAACTGCAATAATTTTACAATACAGACCAGGCATGGGCAAACTTGTCAGTATTAAAGTGCATTATGAGGGCATATTGCTGAGAGTTCTCCTTATTCTGGGAAAGCACACTGGAACAACCATGTTTTCAAGCTCCTCCTAAAGATTGCCAACATTGGGGCATGTCTAATGTCCCTGGGAAGTGAATTCTAGAGTCGAGGGGCCACCACCAAGAAGGCCCTCTCCCTCGTCCCCACCAATCGCGCCTGCGAGGGAGGTGGGAGCATGAGCAGGGCCTCTCCAGATGATCAAAGAGAACGTGTGGGTACATACACAGAAATGCGGTCACGTAGGTAGGCAGATCCCAAATCATTCAGGGCTTTGTAGGTAAGAACCTGCACCTTGAATGTATAAATATGTGAGAGGAAGCCAGAGGGAGGAGGGAGCAAGCTTCCTTTCTGCTTCCCTGGAGACTAGGACGCAATGGAACAATGGCTTCAAACTACAAGAGAGGAGATTCCATCTGAACATGAGGAAGAACTTCCTGACTGTGAGAGCCGTTCAGCAGTGGAACTCTCTGCCTCGGAGTGTGGTGGAGGCTCCTTCTTTGGAAGCTTTTAAACAGAGGCCTGATGGCCATCTGTCAGGGGTGATTTGAATGCAATATTCCTGCTTCTTGGCAGAATGGGGTTGGACTGGATGGCCCATGAGGTCTCTTCCAACTCTTTGATTCTATGATTCTATGATTCTATGAATTGGAACCGGAAAATGAATGGCAGCCAGTGGAGCTCCTTAAACAGAAGGCTTGACTGCTCCCTGTAAGAAGCACTGGTTAGTAATCTGGCTGCCGCCCATTGTACCAATTGAAATTTCCGGGCCGTTTTCAAGGGTAGCCCCACGTAGAGTGCATTACAGTAATGCAATCTGGAAGTGACTAAGGCATGGACCACCCTGGCCAGATCCGCCTTCATGAGATACGGTCGCAGTTGGCGCACGAGTCTTAGTTGTGCGAAGGCCCTCCCGGCCATCGCCGACGCCTGAGCTTCAAGCGTAAGTGATGAGTCCAGGAGGACACCCAAACTGCGGAACTGTGACTTCAGGGGGAGTGCAACCCTGTCCAGCACAGGTTGCCACCCTATACCCTAATCCGGTTTGCGATCTACCAAGAGGGCCTCTGTCTTGTTGGGATTAATCTTCAGCTTGTTCCTCCTCATCCAGATGGCCACAGTGGCCAGGCACTCGTCCAGCACCCGAGGGGCTTCCTTGGAGTTAGGTGGAAAATATTAGTAGAGTTGTGCGTCATCTACATAGAGATGGCACCCAATTCCAAAACTCCGAATGACCTCTCCCAGCGGTTTCATGTAGATGTTGAAAAGCATGGGGACAGAATAAAACCTTGCGGGACCCCACAGGTCAAAGGCCAGGGGTCCGAGCAGGTGTCTCTCAGCTTCACCATCTGGGAATGACCCTCCAGGAAGGACCGAAGCCATGACAGAGCCACGCCTCCAAGGCCCATCCTTGGAGGGACGAGGGAGAGGGCCTTCTTGATGGTGGCCCCTCGACTCAGCTAAAGGTAAAGGTTTTCCCTGACATTAACTCCAGTCGTTTCCGACTCTGGGGTTGGTGGTCATCTCCATTTCTAAGCCAAAGAGCCGGTGTTGTCTGTTGACACCTCTAAGGTGATGTGGCCAGCATGACTGCATGCATATTAAACACATCCCATCCATTACCTAAAAATATTCTTGGCGTCTTGGTTTACAGGACTGTTCTTGCAGTTGTTTGGGGGCACTGATTCAAAATATTGCATTGGATAGACTGTATCAGCTATAGTTTCTTGGACAGTGTTTTCATGATTTTCAGTGGGCAAGTAGATCAAGAGGGGTAGATGGCATACGTCTTGTATCTCAAAAGCCAGAACTTGTAGGGAAAATGGGTGCCATTTTTGGAATCAGTGGGCCAATTTTACCCAGAAACAGGTCTAACATTTAAAAGGTAAAGGTTTTCCCCTGACTTCAAGTCCAGTCGTGTCCAACTCTGGAGGGTGGTGCTCATCTCTATTTCTAAGCCAAAGAACCAGCGTTGTCTGTAGACACCTCCAAGGTCATGTGGCCAGCATGACTGCATGGAGCACCGTTACCTTCCCGCTGAAGCAGTACCTATTGATCTACTCACATTTGCATGTTTTCGAACTGCTGGGGTGGCAGAAGCTGGGGCTAACACTGGGAGCTCACCCTGCTCCCTGGATTCGAACTAGTGACCTTTCGGTCAGCAAGTTCAGCAGCTTAGTGGTTTAATCTTCTGCGCCACTGGGAACTCCTTTACTGTGGGATTTTTTTGCCTTGCTATTCTGGGAAATAGGGCTCTCTGGAAGGGCCCTTAATGATAATCTATTCTTTTCTTTTTTAATGTAATCTTTATTATTGTTGCTTATTTTAAATGAAGACATTTGTGCTGGAAGAAGGAGGCTATGGGCCCTTCCACAAGGCTGATAATCCACAATACCTGCTTCGAACTGGGTTATCTGAGTCCACACTGCCATATAATCCAGTTCAATGTGGATTTTTTGCAGCTGTGTGGAAGGGGCTTATGTTAGGAAGTGAACCATGCATCTTACCTTTATGATAAAATCTGCACCAAGGGGACCGGGGATTTTGATAGTTTCTCTTTCTGAGCCCTTTTGAAATTCAACCGTGGTGTTTTCGATGCTAAACGCTCCGGGGACTCCAAAGCTGTATTCTCCGCTGTCTCCTTGCAATGTCTTTGACTCAATCACTGAAAGGCAAGAAAGGAACACTATGGGCTATAATGAATTTTGCAAGACATAAAGGACATTTGTTTATACAGAACACGGGTTGCAAGAAGTCACTAAGGGCCCAACCACACAGTCGTATAACCCAGAATAGCAAGGCAGAAAATCCCACAATGTCTGCTTTTGAACTGGGTTATCTGAGTCCACACTGCCATATATTCCAGTTCAAAGTAGATAATGTGGGATTTTCTGCCTTGATATTGTGGGATATAGGGCTGCGTGGAAGGCCCCTAAGGCCCCTCCAACACTACCATATACGAGGGTTGAATGAAAAGTAATGCCTCCACCTTCATTACTTGGGTTTCAATGGGAATATTTTAATAAACCGAATGCAGAAATAATCCTTACAATGTGCTCTTTAACTACCATTATTCACTTTTCAACATAATCACCAGACAATTGGATACATTTCTGGCAATGATGAACAAGTTTTCTGAAACCGTCACGGAAGAAGTCGACACTCTATTTCCACAACCAGCATCTCACAGTTCTCTCAACATCGTGCACAGATCTTCCGATAGCCAAGCAAAGCAATAAAGTGACCCATACGTTTTTGTGAAATGCCGATTATGCTTGAAATTTCTCTCTGTGTGACATGACAATTGTCCTGAATCAATATGTCAACCTTTTGCTTGTGAAACTCGGTGGTTGCTGTCACAGGACGTCCAATTCTTTGTTTGTCGCACAAGTCAGATGTTCCCACCTCAATGTCTTCAAATTTATTCACCAAACAACACACAGTACTCACATCAACACAATCACCATGAACAACTTGCATTCTCTAATGAATCCTGTCCTAGTTATATTTTACCTTGTTTACGTCAGCATATTTTCAATTTTAATCTATTACATTTGGCCTGGCCAGTCACTATTGATTGTTTTTTGTTTATGTGATTTATATGATTTGTATTTTATTGATTGTTTATTGATGTTGTGTTTATTGATGTTTTGTTTGATGTACTTTGGGCATGGCCTCATGTAAGCCGCACCGGGTCCCTTGGGGAGATGGTAGCGGGGTACAAATAAAGATTTATTATTATTATTATTATTATTATTATTATTATTATTATTATTATTATTATCTCCTTTGGGGTGACACCTTCTACTGTCAAGAATTCAATGACTGCGCGTTGCTTAAGTCGCATTGACTGACCGTCTGCGCAGGGTTCCATACTTTGCACTTTAACAACACAACCGTTCAATGCTAAGACTTCTCGCCAAAATGGAAGTGTGGAGGAGAGTTTACTGAACAAGCCAGTACCTGCCACATACCAGTACTGCCATCTGTTGACACAGACACAGTGAAGACATCTGCCCTTGCGCTGTGCTACTCTGCTGCTGAGTATGCATGCCCAGTGTGAAACACATCTCACCACACTAAAACAGTGGATGTGGCTCTTAATGAGACATGCCGCATTATCACGGGCTGTCTGCACCCTACACCACTGGAGAAACTACACTGTCTAGCCAGTATCGCACCACCTGATATCCGCCGGGAAGTAGCAGCCAATAGTGAAAGGACCAAGGCAGTGACATCTCCAGCTCATCCCCTGTTTGGGTATCAGCCAGCACGTCAACGACTTAAATCAAGAAACAGTTTTCTAAGATCTACAGAGACACTCTCTGGAACACCCCAGCAAGCGAGAGTCCAAAAGTGGCAGGCTCAAACCCAGAACCTCAATCCATGCCTGATACCAAATGAGAGATTCCCCGCTGGGCACACAGAAGACTAGGCGACTTGGAAGGGGCTGAACAGACTGCGCTTTGGCACCACGAGATGCAGAGGCAACCTCAAGAAATGGGGCCACAAAGTGGAATCCACGACATGCAAGTGAGGAGAAGAACAAACCACTGACCACCTGCTGCAATGCAACCTGAGCCCTGCCACAGGCACAATGAGGGACCTTCTTGCGGCAACACTAGAGGCACTCCCAGTGGTCAGATACTGGTCAAAGGACATTTAATCAACTACCAAGCTTGCCACATCATGAGGAGACAGGAAAGCCTAGAGAAGACAATTATGCTGGGGAAAGTGGAAGGCAAAAGGAAGAGGGGCCAACCAAGGGCAAGATGGATGGATGGCATCCTTGAAGTGACTGGACTGACCTTGAGGGAGCTGGGGGTGGTAACGGCCGACAGGGAGCTCTGGCGTGGGCTGGTCCATGAGGTCACGAAGAGTCGGAGACGACTGAACGAATGAACAGACCAAGCTTGCAAATTCTGTGTTTTATCTGTCTGTTTGTTTGTTTTTGTTAAAAATGTAATACAAATGTCTGGTTACCGATGACACAATAATTAAATAAATCTTGAGGAGTTACGAAGGTGGAGGCATTACTTTTCCTTCAACCCTCGTATATGGCTGTGCGGAAGGGGCTTGAGAGCAAAGAGTAGTACTTTCCAGCAATAGAAGCAGCCACAATCCTGTTGAAGTCTTCTTGACAGGGAGCCTGATGCCAGGATTTTGTGCCCAGATTCCAACCTGACAGTCAACCTATTAAGCTTCTTGAATTACATTTTCCTGAATGAATGGCAATTTGCCTTCAAAAAATAGATCTGTTATTGCCTGACGAGAGAGCAGAAAGGATTTGTTATATAATACGTGACTATATTGGGTTTTTCAAGCAGTAATGGGAGCCTGAAATGTAACTCTTCGCAGCAGGATTGCAAACATTTCCCATTATTGCAGATCTGCCAAACCCTTGCTTTCGCCCCCAGAGAAAGTTATGTCGTAGCCTGAAAATGCAGCAAAAACCGGTTGCAAAGCTTATCTGAGTTATTCAAAGCTGATACATTCGCTAGTGATGTGGTAAAGCAGGCATTCCGTTCGGAAGGCGGCCCAGATGTCTGTGAAGCGGCAATTAGTCAAGTCATAGAATAATCTGCCAAAAAGAACAGCAACCATATCTCTGCCTACTGCACATACACAGATTCCTGTTCATCATCCGCTTGAATTCTGACATCAGCTTCCGTGTTACAGAAATTAGAAACGGAGGCTTTTGAACTGGTTAATACTGCAACCATGGCCATGCTGTGATGTACACAGCTTTATCTGATGCATGTACGAGGGTTGAATGAAAAGTAATGCCTCCACCTTCGTAACTCCTCAACAGATGGCAGTACTGGTATGTGGCAGGTACTGGCTTGTTCAGTAGACTCTCCTCTACAGTTCCATTTTGGTGGGAAGCCTTCGCATTGAATGGTTGTGTTGTTAAAGTGTGAAGTATGGAACACTGTGCAGATGGTCGGTCAATGCTGTTAAGAGTTTTATATCAATTGAGTCATTTCTTAAGTGAAAAAGTGAGTAAGTATTTGTAAGGACCATGTCCAAGCATTGAAAGAAGAGCAACTGTTAAGCCACCTGTGATAGATTAGATGCTACAAATTGGGACTAAGCACTGTGTGTTGTAGAGAGAAGAGAATGTATAGAATGAGACTGTAGAGAAGAGACTGGAGAGTATTGAGTAGAGCAAGAGGAAGAGATTGCTGAAGAAGCTCAAGAAAGGTTTGCTGGAGGATTGAGGGTTGGAACTATTTCTGTGACTATTGCATATAAACATTTCTTTATTGGAAGAGAGTTTGTCTTCTGTTGATTGTTCTCCTTGTGCAACAGGGTGCAGCTTCCGCAAAGGGGGTTTGGATGCTTGGAATCAACCACAACTTTAAAGCAGCGACACCATAGCTGCGACAAATGCGACTTAAGCAATGTGCAGTTCTTGATGGTAGAAGGTGTCACCTCAAAGGAGTCAATTATAGTGTATCCATTAAAATTTAGAGGTCCTTTACTCCATGTCTCTTGTTGAAATCATGTCGAAATTCCTCAAAAAATTTACCAACCCCTTTCTCTTTACTTCTGGTCTGCCACCCTGCTATGTTGAGATAGATGATTTTGTTTGCAAGGTTTTCACTTTCGGAGCTGTTGGAGGTTGCAGAATAATGGGCTGAGTGGGAGGTGTTTTATTTCTTCCTCTGTTCATAAATAGTCAATATTCTCTCTTAGGGTAGCTCAGTGCCTGCATCTATGGCAAGAATCCTCAGAGGTCTGTTGGAAACTAGGAAAATTGGATTTATATATCTGTGAAAAGCAGACAAACGACAGCATGCTGGAAGAAGCAAAGACCACCAGCATTGAAGCGATGGTCCTCTGCCATCAACTCCGCTGGACCAGCCACGTTGTCCGGATGCCTGACCACCGTCTCCCAAAGCAGTTGCTCTACTCTGAACTTAAGAACGGAAAACAAAACGTTGGTGGACAGAAAAGAGATTTAAAGACGGCCTCATAGCCAACCTTAAAATCTCTGGCATAGACACTGAGAACTGGGAAGCCCTGGCCCTTGAGTGCTCCAGCTGGAGGTCAGCTGTGACCAGCAGTGCTGCAGAATTCAAGGAGGCATGAGTGGAGGGTGAAAGAGAAAAACATGCCAGGAGGAAGGTGCGTCAAGCCAACCCCGACCGGGACCGCCTTCCACCTGGAAACCAATGCCTTCACTGTAGGAGAAGATACGGGTCAAGAATAGGGCTCCACAGTCACCTACGAATCCACAAGGAAACCCATCATGGAAGACCATCTTACTCGTCCAACGAGGGATCGCCTAAGTAAAAATAAGTAAGTACTGCCTGGGGGAATCCTTTGTTGAGAGGAGATTAGCTGTCTCTGATTGTTTCTTGTCTGGAGTTCCCCTGTTTTTGAGTGTTGTTAGCTGTAGACTTAAGACTAGAAACATGATGTACAAATGCAATCAAGGAAAACCAACTAATGGCAAGAGAAAAAAGAAATAATTCTTCCAGTTTGTGAAAGAGTAAACTCCCATGTATCAATGGATGGGAATTACTCATTATGATCCGCAAGTGGCCTTTGGAGCTCATACAATCATATGTAGCAAGGCCACTAATGACTTCGAGCAGGCTTCTAAACAAGGCAAGCTAATGACCCAAGACAGGCTTATTAACTATCCTGAGGAGGGAC